TATATATATATATGTATGCACACGCATACACATCTATGTCTGTAAAAGTGTTTCTTGTTGTATGCCAGGGCAGGAGCCGCTGTACGGCATTGTCGATGTCTACAACGCTGGGCCCTACATTTGGAAAGTTCAGAAGTTGGAAGTCGGAAGTGCACGCTGTGTTTCGGAAAGATGTGTTCACACGCACCTCAGGCGACTCTGTCCGTAAGGCTCCTGCCAGGCGTGAGTAGATACACCATGAAAAGACCCCTGAGTTGTTTTGCATTTCATGGTGACAGGGGCGGCTGCGCCTCGAAAGTCTTGAGCAAAGAGTGAGCGCCCCCATGTGGATGCGACATACGCGACATGAGTCTTAAGGTGGGTGATGACGAATTCTTTACAGATTAAGAGCTGCAGGCAAAAAGGCAGCAGCATGCAGGTGGTCCAAGACCATGCAGGCATGCTGATGCTGTCTGTGTTGTGCTTGCGTTCAGGGTCGCGACGAAGTGGCTCCCCATAGCTTGCTGCCTTGCCAGTTCGAGGTCAGTCAAGCATTTCTGAGTAAGGAGCAAGAGAACACCAAGGCAGCAAGCTGACGCTGATATCGTTGATAGCTTCTGGAGCACAAGTGGGTTCAGGCTCTGGTGCTCACGGAGGGCTGTATGTGCCCTCCCAGCCCCAGCTAGAACGCCTGCTGCAGATCCGTAGATTCAAAAGCTCCTGCTGTGTCGCTGATGCTTAGTCGCTTGATGTTGCATCAACTGCCATGTGTAAGAATACGCGGAGCGGAGTGTCTCGATCTGTTGGTTTGAGCCACAGCTTGGTTCAAGCCAGCGCTACCCAGAATGGTAAAAGCAAGCCTCAGTCACTACAAGAGGTCTTCGTCCATGCAGTTGACATCCTGCACTGCAGCCCTATCTTGGGTGGAGTAGGTGAAGCACACTCATGCAAATCTACACTGCGAGCTTTTAATTGCAGCACCTAACATTCACCGCATGACCAGAGACATCATGATACAGCAGGATCAGGCGAGCTTCCTGACGCGTGCTAGTCTCATTGCAGCAGCCTGAGCTGGCAGGTTGGCTTGCTCTGATGGATGGCGGCCATTCAACACCTGAGAACGCAGTTCGGCCACTTGTCTGACATTGGCCTACCCCGGTGAACATGAGGCCACGTCCAGAAAATTCTGGGCCTTCATAGGGCTTGTTGGCCGGCCCTTAGTAACTTCTGAGAGGGCGCAGAATTAGTCTGGGCACGTCCGATGGCTTGTCATCATGCTGTCGTAGATCGGTGACAAAGGCTTGCAGCAGGGGAGGGGGGGTGCCACGAAAAGCTTCTCCCTCCTTACACTTTCCGTCACACTTGCAGGTACTTTGCCGTTATTGGCGTGCATGACGAAGCAGCGTTGCCGGAAGTACGGCGCCTGTTCGGGCAGCAACATACGCGTCTAGATGTCAGCTGGTAGGAGGCAAAGAAAGGGCTGACAGATGGAAATTGGGACTGTTTAGCTGAGGCAGGCGAACTCCCAGTCCAGGTCCTTCAACGATACCCGAAGAAGGATCACAAGGACGTCAGGCGAAGACAGGGTCTCCATTCCAGCTACTCCTGGTGTGCAAGCCAAATTGAGGATTTGTAAGCAGCCAACACTTCAGGTTTCCTCCCGCCCTTGCTTCCTTCTGCTTCCCGCGCGGAGGCTGGACTGCAAACACTTCTCTGATGCATGTTGTGGGTTTTGCTTCCGCTACCCGCTACGTACAATTACTGTATTAGCACAGGTGCTCAAGTTGCGGGGCCGCAGGACGAGGCGCGTGAGAGTAGTGTAAACTTGTAAACACTGTTTTTTTGGTAGTGGGGCTCGACCTGCAAGTGCAGTGCGAGGTGGTGGAGACGCTTCATGGCTTTGTCCTTACCAACGAAGCTGGGGACCGCTGCTTTGGGGCAGCCACTGGCTAAGAAATGCCACAACTGCCATTCTCAAGGTAAGCGACTTCAAGATGTTCAGATACACCGACCAAGGCGTTGCACATCTGGTGTTGGGATGCGGCTCGCTCATGCTTGGTGCAGAGGGCTGGAGTCTCACCTTCTTTGGTTCTCGAAGTGGAAGAATGCACCACCTTGTTACAGGCACTCGCCGTGGTCAGTACACAGCCACTCTGGGGGGTTCTGCGCTCAAGGATTACCTCGACCTTCTGCACTTGAAAATGTTAGTGACTCGCTGAAGGCATTCCGAGCATTTTTATACAGCTTGCGGTATTCGGGAAACTCACCAGAGAGGCCACAATGGAGTGCCCGAGTGCCCTTGGTGAAGGAAGAAGCACGGCTTGTGATTGCTGGTAGGTTTGTCGTCAGCTTTATCTCGGAGACGCCTTTGCCACCACCGGGGTTTCAAGTAATTGCAGATGCCTCAAATGAAGGGCAGCATCATGGCTTTTGCAGAGATGCTGCAAATCTTTCAAGGTGCCTTGGCCAGAGATACCACCGTTCGCACTGCAAAGACCAGCGCCGCATTGGTCTCATTTGCATAAGTCCTTGAAGCAACTGACCACGTTGCGAATGCATGTTCGCCTTGGCCTCAAGCAAGGAACCAGCTGCCGCTGCTTGACCTACCCGTCAGGCAAGCCGACAGCTGTTGCAAAGCTCGGCAAGCAGAGCCATGTCAGGTTGATTTTCCAGCAGCTCAAGCCCGAAAGTGTTGTCACAATCGTAGAGGCCACGTCGGGCTGTTTCTAGGCAGGTGTATGGATGATGTCATGATCGGAGGCATTGCTTCTCGAGCATCGAATCGTTCTTCATTCAGTCTGCTGCGGGCTCTGCTGCAGCTGTTGGGTTGTGCCTAGAAGATAAGCAGGTCGTTGTTGCTCCGGGTTTCTCCCAGCGTCCGCCAAATTCAGGAATGCAGCTGGGTACGCGAGAGCGCATGGCGCTGCCATTTGAAGGGCAGAACGTACCAGGCCCTTCATCAAAGAATCAGACAAGGTAGTAGCTCAGCAAAGCCAAGAATGTTAAAGTAATCTCAGATGACTTGCTCACGCAGAGCTTGAAGGAATCACCGATGCCATGGCCAAAGACAGACGTCATTCGTCATCCCGGTCCTCCCGCTCTCGCTCCTCAAAGAGCTCCTCCACGTATGGACACAGGCGGAAACGATCAAGGAGGGCCAGGCGTTCGCGCAGCTCACGAAGGAGCCGCGGCAAACAACGCCCAGTGACACCTCCAAGGCCCCTGCCCCCAAAGAAGGAGATTGACGAAGTGTCGGAATCATCTTTCGACTCTGTTACATCTGTCCGTTCAGAGATGGACAAGCCAAAGATGGGTGTCTTGTACTGGGGAGGTGGACTGGAAGGACAGGGCTGGGATCTAGCTGGTCGGGCACCTGGCGGTTTTCCTCGCATTGATCGATATTCCGATGCGCTTGTGGACAGCTGGAAGGGCCGTATGGAAAATGCGCAGGTCACGCTCAGAATGTGTGCTTCCGAAGGGCCAGGCTTCAAGAGATACATGAAGCACTTCTTGATGTTGAGCTGCCAGGCATGTGTGGAGTTTCGGCTGCGGCAGTATCACCGTTACAACACGGTAAACCGGAAAAAGGTTCTAACCGAGCGGCAGGTCATTGGTGGCATCCTGGACTGCTGGCATCGAACGGCTGCAAACTCCGGCATGCGGATCAGCAATGGTGGGCCGGGTGAGCCAAACTTCCTCGCATTCCTTCGTCGCCGTGCACGGCGATATAGCGCGCAGGCCCACAAATATGGGGGGCACTTCGCTGCCGTGATCCTTGAGGGTGGTCAGCCGGAGCTCAAGTTCGTTGCAGCTGCTAAAAGCCTGACCGCGGATCGGCCAGCAAAGATAAAGAGGGTTCTCCTGATTCTTGGTGGTCCTGATGGAATTTCAGACAAAATCCGGACGGACATGCAGGCGGTCTTGGAGGAGTACACAGATTTTCCACTATTAGGTGTTGCGTTGCCAGGCGGAATTCTGCACTCGTACTACGCACTGGCCACAGTCCTGGTATTCCATGACCAAGGCTTGCTGATTCCTTATCTGGAGGTTCAGGTGGGGAAGCCAAGGCAGATTGTGAAGCCCAAGGCCCGTCCTCCGGTGCGGCCAGAACCTGAGAAGGAGACTGAGGCTCTGCGCCCAGAGCCTCGGGAAGAGAAGATTCTCCCTCTAAACCTTGGCCCGGTGAATGCTCTGGGTCCGCTAGGTGGACCAAAGCCTCCATCTTGTCCTCCGCCAGCGCACCTGCTGGCGGCAACAGGTCCAGGACCAAAGCTTCCTGGGCTCCTGAAGCCCCTTGCTGTGGGTGTGCTAAAGCCAGCGGTGCCTATGTCTGGCCCGGTCACTTCCGAGCCGCTGGCGGAGCCAGGAGTGAAAGCCTCGCCAGTTCGACCGCCCGTGACGCTCCATCCACTCGGGGTTCTTAAAATGGAAGTTCGCGAGCTCTTGGATTTTGATCAGAATGCAGTGCGCGACAGCAATACATGCAGCTTGTGTACACCGGTATACGCAGCTTCAGGCATGTCAGCTCTTTGCGCTTTTGGCGAAGTCTTAGCGGCATGCTCAGCTTGAATGCGTCTGTTGTTGCGCCTCTGAGCCAGCAGTTTTCTGGGTTGCTGTTCAGGAACTTAATACAATGGAGAACCATATTAGTTACTAATTACTACAGTTAATCATTATGGTAACTTAGCTTCAGTTCCGTAACAGCAACCCAGTTTTGCGTGAGAAAGGTTGGCCTGATTTGGCCGTTAAGGCCTGGCTTCTCGTATCAGAAAGGAGTTTTGCCGCAGAAAAATCCTGCCAAAAATGCCAGGCCAGCTGCAGTCTATGTTCCGTTGCTTCCTGATGCGCCAGGACCTGAACCAACTGCAGCTAACCTTTTTCAAGCTTGCCTGTTGTGTGTGTGCGTGTGTTGGAAATCAGGGTGAGATAGCTGGAGGAAGAAAGCTAACCGAGGCTTGTCGACTTCTGCGGAGCTCCACTCCCCTTCGCTGCTTGCCCTTGAAGATTCCTGCTTGTGTCATCCCACTTCCATGATCATTTGCTTCCAAGGCAGCAGGTAAGAAAATCAAGATGCCAGTAGAAGGCAAAGTATTGGCCACGCTTGATGTATGTATTGTGTGCAGGTGTTGGGCATCTCATCATACATGGTCCAGCGCTCGGGCCTCAGTGAATGGTTGTATCCCGTGGATTTCGGTTTAGTTCAGCGGTTTAGTTCAGCACAGGAAGACGATTTATCGAGTTGGTTGCGTCCTTTGTTTCCGACCCGCGACACGTAAATGCTGCAGTTTAGCTATGCCTACCCTCTTCACTTTTACGACATTGTGCCTTTTTTCAGCTCATAGACGGCCAGCTTTGCTCACAAAATCTCGCAAACCTGACCTACATTCCTGTGCGCTTCTCATGTCCCAAGGTGCGGAAGCAATATGCGAGCCGCAAACCATGTTTGTCGACATCGATCATGGGGAGATACGAGTCATCCAGGAAAGATGCCGTGGAGTTGTTACATGGAGGTCAACTCGGTTGCTGTTAAGGAACTTATCTTAAGTTACTACATTGCAGAAACCATATTCATTACTATAAATGTGCCCATTGCGGTAACTTAATGCAAGTTCCTTAACAGCAACCCAGTCAATGCTGCATCCTGTTCCTTAGGGAATTTCGCAAAAATACTCTTTTTTAGGGGGCACCATATGTAGGATTATAGTATTTTGGGGTCCATACTGGGATCCTTCTATTTTGGGAAATTACCCTTTGGCTCATTACCTGTGAGGAGAATGCCATGAGCACCGCTCTGGGGTTCTGCACAGCTCGGCCGGCTCTGGCCTCAGGAGTGCACTAAACTCTATATATCAGGGTTTAGGGTCTAGGGTATAGGGTCTAGGGTAGAGGGTCTAGGGTATAGGGTTTAGCGTTTAGGGTTTGGGCTTTGGGGATTAGGGTATAGGGTTTGGGGATTAGGGTATAGGGTTTAGAGGGTTTGGGGTTTAGGGTCTAGGGTTTAGGGTATAGGGTTTAGGGTTTAGGGTTTGGGCTTTGGGGATTAGGGTATAGGGTTTAGGGTCTAGGGTCTAGGGTATAGGGTTGAGGGTATAGGGTTTATAGGGTTTAGGGTTTGGGGTTTAGGATTATATGTCCCTACATACCTTGTACAGCCCTATAGAACCCCATAATTCTCTACATATCCCTACATTACATACCCCTTTAGAGCCCCGTATATTCATATACCCCGGTGCGATGCGTGCTCCATCCCCTTGTATCCCTTTATACCAAGATAGACACCTGTGGACACTTATGTCCCCAAAGCTAAGCCCTGAACCCTCGTCTTTGCAGGTCTCCATCGTGTTTGTTAAGTTTAATGTAGCTTAGCCTTTGGAGCTTTGAGTCGGAGTTTCTGATGGAGGCCTGGCCTGTTGCTTTTAGTTCTCAGATGTTCCGGATTGAACCTTGCGATGCTGCCTCAGCCATGCAAGTGGCAAAACCCAATAATATGTTTAGTCCATGGCAAGCCTGTGTGTTCGCCTTGTAGCTTCTCAGCCTCGGCCGCTACTGTGGATAGGTTGAGGTTCTGACTAGGGGTATATGGGTGTGCCTCTGGCCGCAGTAGTGCGCTGGGATTGGATGCGATGACTTTATCCTCCGCAAGTTGGGCCTCGCTGCTGGGAGTTTGTATTTGGTGGTCAATCAATCATTGTAGCTTCTGGTCTCTGGTTCTTTTCCTTCTTGTCGCGTACAGCAGTGGAGGCCCGCTGTAGTTGTTCCTCGACTATTCCGGAATTGAACCTTGCCATGCTGCCTCAGCCATGCAAGTGCCAAACCCAATAAGATACTAGCGTCCATTCTCTTTTCCAGTACCCCTATATGACCCTAAACCGTTCATTCTCAGACGCAGAGTCTTCTTCGTTGTTCTCAGGGAGATCATCGCATCGTGGGACCCCGGCCTCGGCCTGCAGCGCCAGACCGGCCGCACAAGAAGCTGCCTGGAACCCTGGAGCAGGGATCTGTAGGGATGTAAAGAGCAAAGCGTGTATAGGGGATAGTGCTGTAGATCCAAGAGACTGGGTTTGTAACAGATTTGGGTGGCCAGTCTGCGACACAGGCTTGTAATCGAATCTCCTGGCTTGCGACAATGACAAGTTCTCTTGTGGCTCATAACAGGCCGCGATAGGCCGCGACAAAGCGGCGTGTAATAGGGGTGGAGGGGTCCGAAACGGGTTTTTGATCCACAGCCATGTGGGGATACACAACAATATGTGTATATATATATATACACATACACACATTTCCAATAGTTTTTTGGGGGCTGCTGGTTTGAGCTGGGCTTGAATGTCAAGAAGGAGCTGCAACAAACAAAGTTCACTCTAACATTGAAACGTTTCTCCCACTGGCTCTCAGGCTGCGGCGCCTAGACCTGGCTCTTCGCGGCATCGACTTCCAGGCCGCTCAGTGGCTTCAGTGGCTGTGGGGTAGTTGCGGCGCATCGACTGCGCAGCTTCGCATCATCGCCCACTGCTCTGGCTGAGAAAGCTTGTGCTTTGGTCACGTAAAGCCAAAACGCAAGCAGCAGATCCAAGTTGAGCTTCTCCATTGGTGCACTAAAATGTTTTCCCTTGCCGTGAGCAGTATACGTTTGAACACCCGGTGTTGAGATCAGTAGCCTGGGTCATTACTGTTCGCACCAACCTGCCAACTTCTGGCAGGATTGCCCAGCTCAAGGCACAGGATCCCAATACAAGTAAACCCTCGCAAGCCATGCTGCCACTCCGGGATTGTGCAGCTCTTGCGGCTGCCGGTTTAGCAGCTGCGTAACTTGTCGTGCACTGGAGCTGTGAAGAGAAGGGGTCGATGATCAGGATACCCGTGAGGGTTTGGGTCCTGGCACTGTGCAGTAGTCTAGTACTGAGTGGGGCGCCGTTGATACCAACAACCTACCTTTTGGCCTGAGGATTTGTGCTGGCTTGAGGAGGACGAGGACGTCACTGGTAGAAGAAGCCGCTCGCAGACTTTGACACTGGACACTTGGGCAAATTCACGGTGCTGTAGGAGTTCGAAAGTCAAGCGCAAGGCCAGGGTGTTGAGTTAACGGTGTTGTGCCCGGCTTGGAGTAACAGATTCAATCTGTTCAGAGGTTCAGGCAATCATCTTCGACCTGGATGGTACATTGATAGATTTCGAAGGCTCTTCCCCGCAGCTGATGTGATCTCTTCAGTCTTGAACTGAATGCTGGCTTGAAGGTGTTTCGCACGAGGCGCTAGAAGCTCCTCTGCTGCGGCGCCGGAAGCAGCTTGCCTGGGACTGGCTGAAATATGAATCGAAACCTGCAAGAACTTCACAGAAGGCCTCCCAAGTTCACTTGCGCAGGAGCTGCACGGCAAGATTGTGGGAACCAAAACTGAAGATTGGTCCAGGAAGATTCTGCAGGTCACTGTGGCAGCAAAGCAACGATTTGCTCTGACAGCTGTTGAATCACAATGAGCCAACAGGAAGTGGGCCTGACAGCGGAAATCTTGACGCCAGAAGCGTATGTCAAGGAGACGTCTTAGTCTTGCAAACCTCCTCACGAATACATCCGGCGTTGTGCTTCTGCAAGCAGGAGTACATGGAGGACATCAAGGCACGAAAGTACCTGATGCGACAGAGCTAGTGCCATCCCAGTGAGCGACAGGCCTTGTACTCCAAGATCTTGGCTTGGCCAGGAACACTGCCTCTTCTTCGCTCCCTGAAGAAAGCAGGGTTCCCCATGGCAATTGCAACTTCCAGCCCAAGGCCGCTTGAGCTCTTGACATAATGAGAGCCATGAGTATGGCCAGCGATGTCAGGGCATCCTTCAATCAGAAGATGCTCTTCCACAAGGACCGTCCCTGTTTGTTACCACAGAAAATAGCATATCAGCTGAAGTCAAGTGCCCTCCTTCAAACGGTGCCTTCCGGCTTCTGCAGGAAATATTAGACCTCATGGATGCTGTGGTGACCGGGGATGAGGTTGAATGTGGCAAGCCTGCGTTGGAACCTCGAGCTTGGATGAGCTTGGCCAGCCTGGAGCCATGGAGCGATCTGGCGCTGAAAGGCCTGACATCTTCATCGAGGCTGCGCGAAGACTTGGCAAAGATAGCCGCAGGTGTGTCGTGCCAGGCACCAAGAAGATATTGCGGGTTGTTCACGGCTCATGAACGCTTTTCCCCGTGAGCTCGAGGTTCGAGGATTCGCCTTTGGGCATCGCTGGAGGGCAGGTGAAGCCATGTAGCATGATTAGTACTGTTATTCTGATAATGAATAGAAATACTTGACCCTTCCAGGCTTCCGCAACTAGCCGTGTGCTCACCCCCTACCCGCCCTTCCACCCATGTGTCGGGTGGAGGGTGAGATAGGTACGCACCCGGCAAGGGATCCTCAAGGCTTCTGCTACCCTCTTCCGGAAGAAGGATGAAACCCCCCAGTCCTTTCTTGCTTGCGTCCCCAGAGCTGGGCCGGTTGCGCAAACCCTGGCATTCGGCCTTCCACCCGGCGGTGGCGTTGAGGCCCGTGCGCGACAGCACGCCAACAAGAAAGGAAAGGCAAACGTTTGTAGTAAAGAGCGGGATTGCCCGGTAGGTAGGATCAGGCATCCGCCTGGTCGTTGGAACATGCAGCAGACGTATTTTGGTACGCCTGTCACTGGTACGTAGCGAATCCGTAAGGCTTGTAACCTACGAGCACTTCATGCAGTTCGAAACCGTTTTCTCGGGCCAAACATGAAAATCGTGGGTGATGCTTGCGGGGGCCATGAGGCTTCGGCTTGTATTCAACTATCACTAACTTTAGTAGTGCAGGTATTTTTGTTGTTAATTTTCTGATTGCCACTTGTATTATTCTTCAGCAATACCCATATTACTTTCAGTAGCCTGGCCGGTGCCTGGGCAGACTTCCCTAAAAGGCGGCGGGTTGCCTGACGGTGGCGCTACCGGACCCAAGGCAGGAAGTAAGAAGAAAAAACCGGGTGAATCATTTAGGCCCCTGAACGCTATGTAATCTCATATAATCCTCCATAGCCTGTAGAGCCCTATGTAATCCTATATAACTTATATAACCCTCAATCCCTTACAGTGGGCCAGTCCAAAGTCTCTTTTTCAAGTGGTCATTCAATGGCGCTTCCTGCCGTCAAGTGATGCGCTTGCCAAGTTGCCCGCAGGTTTCCCGAAAACGCGAAACGACTCGAAGAACTGCATCCCACTTGGATGTTAACGCATGGAATTGGTGTCTTGGCTTGGAGATGGTTCTTTTACCTGCGCTGGGCCAGGACTAGGGTTCGTGCTGTGCAGGTGCCTTCGATCCAGAGGAGCTCAGCTTAGAAAGCTAGCGGTCGGCCAGGACGCTGGAGTGATTCTTGCGAAATCGCAGGAAGTTGCCTAGAACGGTTTGGGCTCCTCGATGCATTTCTTCCATCTTGACGGGTAGCTGCAATCCAGCCGCAAACAAAACCAGCTCATCAGCTATGGGCAAGCACATGCCAGCGGTATAATTATTGCAGAGAGGTTAGCAAGCTTGAGGAACCTGGGTTCCGAGTAGACTTGAAGGCGATGCCAAACTTGATTCAAGAAGAGCAGACGTGGAACTGGAAGGATTTAGAGACAAAATCTCAGATGGATAAGTGCTTCAGCAGCTCTTGCTGGACCAGTTTCACCGATCCTCTGCTTCGCCAGAGAGATAGCTTAGGAGCGGGTCGCCAATCGTTTCTTGCAAGAAAGAGGGCAGAGGTGGCATCAGAATAGACAGCGTCCTTGCCGTGAGTTTGCAGGCTGCGGAACAGAAGACTCGCTTTCCTTTACCTTTGTCGAGGCAGATCTGATTGCTCGAATTGCGAAGCAAATTCATAGGATCACTGTGAGCTGCTGCTCCAGGCCCGTGCCCTCATCTTCTGTCTGCTGCCTCAGGAACCGCCGAATCATGTTTCAATGTTTGGAAAGCTCGGTCTAAGGCTCTGATCAGACAGCGTTCTTCATCTTTCGGTGGAATGGTGCGCCTCTTGCTTCTGAGAAGTGGAACATCCATACAAGCATTGCAACTAGGCCACAGCATCATCACCCTCCCAGGGCCGACCTCGGATGTTGTCACCTGGCAGCAAAGCAGCCCCTGTTTCAGACCTTTCCATGAACTGGTTGAAGGTCCGGAGTCTCGGATGCCAGCGATGGTGTGGTGAACCCAGTGGCCAGTGCAAACATTTGCTGCTTGTTTTGTTTGCAGCACGACGCGAGAAGCCACATGACATTGATTTCTCTGCCGCATGCTGTTTTTGGGCAAAGCCCATAGTCTTGAGTCTGCTCTTCCAGTGTGGTGGATCATGGCAAAGGGGAGCCGCTGGCCAGATGGGAAGAGTTCTGGCAAGGGCAAGGCCATTTGTTTGGACAAGCCAGGCCTCGAGCGTTCCCAGGTACAGTCCCTCACATCCCTGGCAGGGCAGACCTCCAGACAACTACAAAACGGATCTCTGCAAATTTTTCGAGCGCGGGCTCTGCGAGCCTTGACTCCAAATTCTTGAGCCCTCAAAGGGAATAGGACTTCTGCTCGTTCACAGGAGAAGGGTAAGATGTGCCCGTTCGCGCATGGAAAAGAAGAGCTGCGGCCATCATCGTTATCCGAAAACAAATCGGACATCATCATTGCATCTTGGAGGCACCAGGAAAGCGCGGACTTTTTCATTCCTGATTGAGGAATGTCATGTGCTGCTTGAAAGTTGCTTGCTCGAGGCCAACAAGCAGAAGGATGCTGAGGTGATGTCCTGGCTTAAGGTGCGCGGGCTCTATCTTCCCTTGTCGAAGTCTTCACTTGTCAAAATCAAAGGGTTACGGGTCGCCAAGAAGACTGCAAAGGAGGGGCCTGTGAGAACACGCAAGTCTTCTGTTGGTTTGCAGCTTAACAGTAAAATCTAAATTCAGGTGAGCTTCAGCATCCACCATCAGATGTTGCTGTGTGGGCTCTGCCGGTGCTTTTTGCGTGTGCAAGGAGCGAAGAGAAGCGGAAGGCGATGCTGGGGAAACGTTTGAACAGCACTGGCCTTCGCCTCAAAACCTGAAGGCCAGGGCTGCCTCCCCGCATGGTACATCTTCACCTGTCGCTCAGGAAGGTCTGGTGCAAGGTTCACGGCTTGAAGGCTCGTTTGGGCACTGAAAGCAGCATGATTTGATGTTGTGGTATGGCCAATATGCAGTGACCAAGGAGTATGTTCTTGGTACTAGTACAGATAGTACAGGACTTGCCCAAAGCAGCGCGGCTGAAAAGCATCTGGGCCTAGCAAAGACAAGCCAAACCGGAAGAGATGTTGCATTTCCACGCCCAGGCATCCATGCTTTCCGAGCACAGATGGAGCCGCATGAGCAGACGACTGCGCAGAGTGGTGGAGCTGAGCTCCCAGCGGTCCCAGCGCATCCGAGCCCGACCTGTCCGCAGGGTCACAGGTTGGCAAAGTGCCTCGCCTCCGAGCCTTGGAGCGAAATGTCATGCTACATGCAGAGGTGCAGGGGGCCCCATGAGTTTACATGAGCTCAGCGCCGCTGAGGACGAGTACGAGTGTGATGGCTGCAGCATTGAAGCTTCGGGCGCATGAAGTGTTTGCACTGTTTACACACGTTCGCACTTTTGGCCTGCCTGGCTGTTCTTGCAGTTCTCCCAACTGTCTGAGGACATTGGTCATGGGTCAACGTTTTGGGACTGCCTGGCCCTAAATGACATTGTGCGAGAGCTCGGCTGGCTTTCTTAGTTGTCCCAGGTCGCGAATGTGACTACAGCCTGTGCGTGGACTGTGCATCAAGCCGGACAGTTCAACCTGCTGCTCCAAGTAGAGACTGCAAGCCTCTTTCGTCTGCACAGCCAGCAACATCAGAGCCTGCTGCCGAAGCTGCACTAGAACCGGTGATGGAGACACCCGTTACGGATAGCATAACAGACAACATCAATTCTGCAGCTGCGCATGACCCTTGGAGTCATTGCTTAGGTGACCTTTTTCCGCCTGGGGTGAAGTTTCAGGAGTTTCGAGTCTGCTGTTTTGATGTGTTATATCAGCTAGACATTTGTAAGAGCTGTGGAGTGCTGCTTTTAGGTGTGGGCCTGCAGCGTGGAGGAAATCCGACTCAAAGTCAAGAATGCAATCGAGGATGGAGCTTAGCTAGCACATGGCGCGGATAGTTTAGAAAGCCGTGGCACAAGGGATCTGCAGCTTAGGATTGAAGCTGGGTGATCTGATTGGGCTGAGCTCCCAGCAGTCGCCGCTGAAGTGCACGGAACTAGTGAGTGGCTTGGCTATGCTTAGCTTGAAGATGGTTGGGTGACAGAGGGGGGTCAACAAAGCGTGGGCAGAGGAAAGCATAAACGTATCGCCTGTGACTTTGTTCTTCGCACATTTTTCTGAGATATGTGTTGGAGATTGGCGACCAACTATGCAGAAGCTTTCTCATATCCTAGAATGCAACCCGTTACTGTCTACATTTGCGGCTTTAACGTCGTCGTTTGCGCATCGATGCGCCAGTGCTTGCGATCGATTAGATGGGCCACGTTACACCGTCAAGTACCAGAGAAGGACAGGAGGAGGTCAGCTGTGCATGAGCGAATGATGTGAGCGAGAGGTATGTGAGCGGTGCAATGCTCATCAGGTGCCCGATGTAGGTATCCACACGCAAGAAACAGAAGAAACTTTCCACACGCGCTTGGAGCAAAAGCCTGGCAGTCCTCCATCAGATAGTCAGCGTACCATGCAGACATGTCAGCTCGTCTGGCATCAGGGCAATGTGAGGGGCGATGTGCAGCTTTCATAGGCCGGGCTGGGGGCAGCATTGGCAGCAATGTGGGTGTGGCTAGAGTGTCTGGCTACCTTGTCAGCAGTCAGGCCACTTCCTGTTTCCGGCCGCCCTTCCCATTGTGGTTCAGACCTGTCTCAGTGAGCAGAACTTTGCTGGTGTCTGCCGCGCTCTGCAACTAGGCGCCATCTCCATGCTGATGAAAACCATCTAGTTCTTGCTTCTCTTGCTTCGCTCGTGAAAACTTATGTTTTGCTGGCTGCCTGGCGCCAGAAGCGCTCCTGCAGCTTGAGCCGGATGGAGAGCTCACCACTCGGGCGTCCATCGCCTCCTCGTTGTTCCTGGCCTTGTTTCGGGCATCGCGGAGTGGCTCAGCGAGCTTGTGGGTTCAGAGCGCATGGCTTGGGAATAATATCTCATGCAGTCCCATGAAGCCTAAGGATCTCCGGACAATGCTTGCTTGCTGGTCGCAATTGCCTCTCCAATGCAAGCAGTCAAAAACAACTCCGTGGGTTAACAAGTGGCAGGATGAAACTGGATATAACTGGATTAACAGACAAACTGCAACGGTTTGCATGCCAAGGAGGCGATGCTGGACTTTGTATCTTGGCTGACCATGCGTCATTTTGCCGTGAGGTTTTGCCCACTTTCAAGGCAACGTTGAGTTGCGCCTGAGGTCTGTCTGGTAGGAACGAGCCACTTTGTTGCTATGGGCGTGATGAAAGCCGATGCGCCCCTCGGAGATTCCAAAAGCGACGCTGACATCGATAGTGCCGACGGCGCCGATGGCGAAGAGGTCCTTTGGCAGAGCCAAGATGCTGCATCAGGCAAGTCGCCATGCCGCCACACTCCCTTTACTTTTTTGCAATGAGCTTGCGCCAGCTGATGCGCAGGTCAGCAGGCTCACGCCGATGTGCCAGAGGACAGGGCAAGCGCAAGCGCTGTCGAAGCGAAGTAAGGGCAGAGGGAGACGCTTGGCCATATCTTCTGAGGAATCTGAGGAGGCTGCACGAGCACGGCGTGTTCAAGCACAGCAGGAGCGAAAGTGTCTTGGCATGTCTTGGCCAACTGGGATCGTTTAACGGCACAGGGATCCTGAGCTTCAGGTCTTCGCTTCGCTGGGACTACACCGGTGGTTACCGACCTGCAGAGGCTAAGCGTCCAGAGACCAACGAGGAGGCGCGCCCTGCTCTCTGCCCTAAGCCTTCAGTGCAGACTCCGGTCCGGGTGCGCAGGCGACCCTCCGGCTCATAAATGCTCGGTGTAAGGGGCTGCGACTGGGAAGTCCGCTTGCCTGCAATTGTTAGAGGAACTGCTGCCATGCAGCTTTTTAATGGGGTGCATCGACGCTCTGTAGCCAAGGTGAAAAGGCATCCGCAGAAGAGGGTGCTGAATCGGAACCTTCGCGCCTTGGCGGCGTCAATTGCTTCAATTCTTCTGTCATCTTCTGGCCCTTTTGTTTGTTCATTCGGGTGTTAAGTGCTTGCACAAACCTTGTCCTGCAGCTCAGGAGGTCAAAGCGTGAACCTCCGAGAGGTGGGACATGCAATCGGCTTTACTTCTTCCTGTGATTTTTCTGTCTGTGAAGGGTCAACAGTCTCTGAAGATCCCAAAGTTCCGAGCCTTGGCAGCACCTGGGCCACAGATTTGAATGCTCGTTGCGTGTTGCCCCAATCCAGGAGATTCAAGAAAGACTTGTGCAAGTACTTCGAAAGGGGACACTGTGACAAAGGGGCGCAATGCACCTTTGCTCATGGTTGGGAAGAGCTACGCGACGGTGGCAGCAAGGCAGTACCATTCCAAAAGACAGGGCTGTCCCTGAATGGGCCTGACGTTGCTACGCAAAACTTGGAAGTGCAGGCAGCCTCCAGCAATGGTTCGTTGGTCCACCACGGTCCTTCTTGGGAGAGTGGCCCTCCTCCTGCGGATAAGGAGCCCGGTATGCAGTAGTTGGGTATCATGCTTTCAGTAGGTTGGCCCCACATTGAAGGTACCCTAGCGCAGCCTCAGATGCAAGACACAATCGTACCTACCGCTGCTTCAGTCAGGTCTACCGCAAAAAGATCTGACGATGAGATGGTTTGCAGAGGCAATGGCTGTTCGGGTCTCGAGGGCGGTCCTGCCTGAGGTTCTGCTTGGCAGCGCACCGTCCCCTGTACAGATTCCGCTGAACTGCCGCAAACGGGCAGCGTAGCATCAGGAGCTGGCTTGTTTGCAGTTGAGTGCACCAATGCCACGGTAGAAGTAGAGGACAAGCAACTGTTAACACAAGCAAGCAGCATGTGCTGTCTGACATCCTGCGCTTCGTGAGCAGTGCCCAAATGCCTGAGCAAACCGAAAAAAACACCTTGCCTGTGCGCCAGCCCTTGAGGTGTCGGTGTGTTTTGGTTCTGGCCCGTCTGTTTGTGCCGCTGAGACTGTTGGAGATCAAGCGACGTCAAGCTGAGGTTGTGCTGCCGGACATGGCAGAGACGCCCTGGCGAGTACAAGGCTTCATATCAGCCGGAAAGTATGCATCTCAAGCTATGCATCTTGTGCAGTCTGAACACACCGTGGAAGGTGAGAGCGCAGCCATGACAGCGGGAAGCTTAGAACATTTCCGCTGGAGAGGGCAAGCGGATGAATCTGCAAAGGGCATTCTCCATGAAGTTCTGCTACTGGTGAGGACAATGTTCATTCGCCGGGGCATATCCTGGCCAAACAGGCAACCAACATGTAACATTTGGTTGTTGCTGTGTTTGTCTGCATCTGTCTGTGCGGCATGCGCTTCATGTTCTTGCAGATGACCCGTCAGCAGTGCCAATCCAACTGCATGACATGTCTCAAGCGATGCTACACCACTCGGGCCTAGCTTTCTGTTGCTATGGCTCTACAATGCGGCTCACATGAGCGCCTCGATGTGGACAGCGAACTCGTCCCCGCTCTCGGAGCAAGGCAGGTGACGCAAACAAGAGCAACGCTTCACCGGCTGGCCTGTGCGCTTAGCACTTTCGGTGCCGCATTCTTGGCATTGGCCGCAGTAGCTCTCATTCCGATCGGTGGTGACCAAGACAGGGTTGAAACAACCCCCCAAGAAGTGTCTGTGGAGGATGCTTGGCAACCACGCGGCCTTTCTCCTCCTGCACTTTCTCCTCAGATATCATGTGCGCTTGTCACATGTGGTGACTTCGCAACTACCCTTAGCAAATGGGGCAAGTGTGAGGGACCGGCAACTTCTGCTGATTGCTTCGAGAAGTGTTGCGGCGACATCAAATGCGCTTACATTCCTGATTTCTCTTGTGGAGCAGAAAGCTTCCCTGGCCTCAATGCAGGCCTCACCAAGAGGCACATTTCCTATTGGAAGTCAGGCAAGGAGAAGAAGAAATGCAAGGGAGAGGAAAATTGCGTCGACGTCTGTTGTCAAGGCCTGTGCGCTGACGTCCAGTGTCAAGCACCAACGCCTTGTCACAGACCGTTCCCTCCAGAGAGGTGCACTCCTTCCACGTGTCAACAGCAGTGCTGTTATGGGGACGATTACTGCGGTAATGGTCTCAACGCGTGGACTGAGGCATGCAAGCAGTGCGACTCATTGACAGGTTACTGTGAGAGCAAGCTCAACCTTGATTATGAGACCACGCCCAGGGAGGAGTGGAACAAGGCTGCATACAAAGCAGTGATGAAGGGCCACGTGGAGCCTGGTTGTGAGGTGAGGTCCACACCAACTTGCGAGAAGCTTCTCCATTTCAATTTAAAGACCGTTTTTCCATTCCACAAAAATGGCGAAGGAGTTTCGGTGAACGGGCTGGATGTGATTGCGGGTGGCACTCAAGCAGTCAGCGGTGGAGATGACAAGCTCGTCTTCATTTGGAGGATTGCAGATGGTCACATATTGAGAAATTACTCGGCCCATTACAGTGCAATTCGCACGATCTCCACATTCAATGATGCCACTTTCTTCTGCGCGGCCAGCCACACGGAGGCAATTGTTTGGCGCAATTCCGGTCCCCAGGATTCGGGAATCCTGGCTGAGGAGTACACGACCGACAACCCAGCAGATATTGAGACCACTTCCTGCATTGGCATAAACACGTGGGAAACGGCCATTGTTGGGCAGAACGACAGCTTCGCTGAGATCTGGAAGTGGAAAGCAGAACAGACACTGCAAGTTCCTACGAACCCAAAGGTCCAATGGAAATGGCAGATTGACAAAGATGCCGGCTATGTTCGCTGGGGGGATAAGTTCAAAGGCCATCCCAGCGACTGGAAAAAAGCTTTCACAGATTGGAGGAAGAACCTTTTCGGGCTGAACCACCGTCGGCTGCAAAGCAACGCTTCCGAGGATGCGTCGGCACGCCGGCTTCGTCCTGCTGACAGAACTGCACCCTGGACTAACTGGTTCACCAACACGCGTTGGGGCGATGTCCCTGTCTATTACTACCAGCCAGACAATTGGGGACCCATTACAAGTCTGGCAGCAATACCTTTTGATACTCTTTTTGCCGTAGGCTATGGCTTGGGCAGCATCCGAGTCTGGATCACCTACAACGGTTTCCTGAAGAGCATCATCCCACAGGCCCATGATGGAGCGGTCACAGCAATGGTGTCAGCTCCGGCCGGGAACGTCTTATACTCTGGCGGAGCAGACGGCATCGTTCGAATGTGGAATGTTTTCACGGGAAAATTTCAGGCAGAAATGTATGCAGCCCATGCGGGACCTGTGAGGTCTCTGGCAGTGATCCCAGGTGGCAACAACATCTATTCAGGCCATGCGACAGGCCTCCTGCTACTTTGGATTCCTGCCATCCAGAAGTTGTGGTGCCACCTAGATACAAAGGCTGGCTCCGTCAATGCCCTTGCAGTGAATCCAGCTGTTGTAGGCCAGGTCCTGCTCGCCCTGGAGGGCGGTGAAGCCAGAGTGTACGAGATGAGATGAGGTACGATGAGGCCCTTCTGTGACTCACGCTCATTGCTGAGCTTTGGGCGTCCAGTGACTCTAGTCAGTGTTTCACCTTCAGAGTGTCAAGTAGCAGTCAGCGAGTGCACTGAAGGATAGTAGAGCTTAAAACGAACGGAAGGTGCTGCTCGGCGTTTTTGCAACCTGTGCACGGGTGAAGTCTTGCCCTGCAAGTGAGCAGAAGTTGCCGATTCGTGACTGTTTCGCAAGCATTCTGGTCAAAGCAACGTGGCTGGGCACCATCTGCCCGCTGATGTGGGGCCTTCGTTTGCTGGAGCTTTGCCTCGTGTTTCGCTTGGCCCATAGCCGCAAAAAGAACCCTGGCTGGCGCGATGGCCACTATCCCTATCAGGATTCCAACAATTGTGTGCTAGTTTTTACCAGATTCTTTCAGACTTTCATGCGGGATTGGAAGCCCCCCAATCGCTGCAGGACTTGATATCAGAGACAGTGGCATACTGCTACACTTCCCTCGTGCGGAATTCGAGCTGCTGCCTCGACGGCCATTACGCCCCTCATGTCCGGAAGGCACTTGTGCGACGAGTGGGTGTTGGGTGGTGGTGCGGCAAGGAGTGCTACGACGACAAGAAAGGCTATCGCGGAGCCGCCTGGCTTGGAAGCTTTCCCTACTGCAATGTATTTGTGGGAAGATCGTTAGCTGTTAAAGAACTCTTGGCTTGCTTCCCCATTCTTCAAATCAAGGATGATTTGCTTTGGGGCCCTCGGGGAGCGACCTGTGAATCCCCACGACTTTTATGGATACATGGAGGAAGCTGGGAGTATGGAAGCCCTGACACATTGTCTTATGGCCAGCTGGCCTCTAAGCTGGCGGGTCTTTCTGGGGCCGTCGTGATGGTCCCGGACTATCCTCTGGCACCCCTGGGGACGTATTCCATTATCATGGGAGCTGCGCTTGACGCTCTTCGCTGGCTTGCAGAGGCACCGCTGAAGGAATTAGGCCTCAACTGCCCACCAGGTTCAGCGCCTTTGCTGGTGGGAGGTGACTCTGCAGGTGGTGGCACAGCAGTCTCATTGCACCCCGGCAAGTTGTAATGACATGGGAGGGCTGGATGGGCCGGCCAACAGCTGAGGGCATGCATTTCAATGCTTCAAGGCTTCAAGGCTTTTACGGTCCCAGGCTGCTGACATCAAATGGCTCAACCTGGGGGTTGTACATTCTTGCCCTAAAGTTACATTGCCTAGGACCTTGAAGCTGAAGAAGGACGGAGGCTGGAGTCCAGGAGAAAACACACAGTCGAGGCCAGAGGAGCTGCCCGGTGGTCAGATTCTCGCCGGAGCGATTTTTTTCAGTCCTTGGACCAACTTGAAGTGTGACACGCCAGACTACTATTACAATGCTTTCGCAAAGATTGTTGACAAGAAGGCTTTCAAGGATCCAGATTCAGGAGTGGCCTATGTGGGCGACCTGATGTTTCGTGGCCATCCTGAGGAGAACTTGGATGAGTTCACAGCAAATGCAAAGAGCACCTGGGATGGTACCCTGATTTCTCCGTACCCAGGATCCACAACAAGTAGGGTGTTTTTCTTGTACAGCTTAGGCTATGTGGGGGATGATCATAGCTTGCTCACGGATCCAGTGGCCTCGCCCTTCTTTGCAACAGTGACAGAGCTGGGAGGTGCACAGCACTTGGAGTTTGCATGGTCATGACATGCAGCATGCACGGCCTTTTTGCAAAACTGGCCAGCTGTGAGGTGGTGGCATTCCTCCCTTGTTTTTTGCCGTTGGTGGCTCCGAGTCCATCCTTGGAGACAGCATGATCTTGGCCCAGAAGGCTGCCTTCTATGGCACCAGCATCTTGACATAGCTTGGGGGAGCAAGTTGTGATGGCTTGTCGTTAGGTTTAGATGCGGTGAAGAAAGCGACGCCAACAAAGGTGTGCATCTGGATGTCCACGTGGGCATGTGGCACGACTTCCCCATGTATTCTGAAGGTTGTGGAAGCGGCTCACCACTTTGGCAGGCGTGACGTGACAGAGCCGTAGCCCAGGTGCCATATGGTGGCAAAAGGTTGATGAGAATTCTTAAGCGACTCACTGAACAGCACCTAGTGTTGCAGTCTTTCTGGCTAGCTGTCCTTGGGTTGTTAAGATTGTACTCTTGTCGGGGTGTTTGAGAGAATCAAGGAAAGTCTTTTTCTATGAGCACTCCCATCTAGTGGCATCTAGTCTGTGGCCACTGACCGCTCACCAGAATGTCTGCTATTGTCAGCGCCCTTGTCGCAGGCTGCCAGCGCACTCAATCGAACCTTGGCTTGAGTTGCTGCTTTTTCCGCATGTGCATGCTGTTTACATCATGCAGAGGGGCCTCAGCCCTACCTTTGTCAGAATGGGGCTGGTAGCGGATGGTCTTGTCTGGTGTCCTTTCAAGCGAGCCTGAACTTCATTTAACTTCTGTCCGTGCGCAGCTGGTTCTGCAGCCAGGAACCGCTGCGTTCGTAAAGTATGTGGCTGCCAAGAAGCAAACTGCAAAACGACTTGGCCTGATCTGGCCGCCAGCAAAGTCAGCACCTGGCACGCCGCATACGAGGCTGTGATGGCCAAATAAAGTGACGCCATCTTCAAAGAATGGTGCCAGGCGGTGTCAGGCTTTTCAGCTCGTAGCAAGTCTTGTTGGTTCAGCTGATCGTTTGGGTCGTTCAGGTCTAGCTTGGAGGGCCAGAGGCTGCGATGCAGATTGCTCATAGGTTCATGCTCCACGTGAAGGGGAATCTTCAAGTATAGGCAGTATAGGAGGGATGTGCAGCTTCACTACCCTCACTACAGGCTTCTTGCGGGTGCAAATTCTGGTGCCTTAACCACACCAGAAGTACCATTGCAGACGTGCGGCGAACGAATTAGAAGAGGTTTGATGTCGTGTGTGCGTGAGTGCGTGTGACGGAACCCATGCCCCAGGTACATCTACGACACCACAAGACCAGGAACCAGCAGGCGGGCCTGTTCTCTGTTCTTTCTCCTGGGAAAAGTGCCTAAAGTTGCGTTTGCAAGCCTTTGAGAACACTGGAGCATGATCTAGCTCTGGCTTCCCGCGCTGAAGCCATGCCAGACACTTGCCTTGACGTATGCTGTATGTACTTTGCTCAGTGCTTGGCGATCGGGAGATTGCACATGTTCTGATGTTTGCCTGGATGAAGTTATGTGTCACTGTATGTGGCCATACATCTTAACCAGCACCAGTTGCATCAATCAGTATCGTCATCATCATGATCCAGAATAACGCAAACATCATGCATCATCGGCATTCACCATCCTCCATTGTTGGTGCCGTCGTCCCAGCATCGTCCAAAATGAAGATTTAGGGGACAACTCGAAAGGTTGCATGTTGGTCTTCCTGAGGTGATACTGGAGGCAGAGGTTGACATTATTCTTGCTGTTGATGTGGCTCTTGTTTCGCGCGTGGTTGATGGTTTCGCGTGCCATGACATGAATGCCGCAACTTCACGGGCGCTTCATTTCTGTTGTTCACGTGGCTGTTGGTCCAAAACCTTCGCAGCGATTGAGCAGTTCCTTGTATTTTGAGCGATTGTACCTCCTACAAAACTAGCACAGTTGAGTTTCCAGGGCTTCTTCTTCTCGTGTCCTGTGTGGAGAAGCAGCGCTTATCCCACATCAGTTCACTGTGACGTTCCACCTCCCCGGCTCCCTACCTGAGGCTTCATGTCCGAGTCCCAGCATATTGCGAGTCAGGTGGTTTCCGAAGGAGCTTGCGGATGAGACGATGGCACCGTTAGCCTTTGCCGTGGATGGGGCGCAGGAGACAAGGTTCTTGGGCCTAGTTCTAGTTGAGCATCAGTATATGCCTGCGAGTATTGTCTTTTCCTGAGATGCCTGAGGTGGGCTCCAGGCACTCTGGCAGGGGAGGCTCATGGTGTCAGCGGCGAGTTTGCCGTTCTTGCTTTGACCGTGCTGCTTGGAATTTCGGCTTCCCTGTGTGTCTTTGGCATTTGCGCCGGACACCTTATCAGAAGACCTGCCAAGTCCTTTTTCTCAGCTCCTCTGCTGGAGCCATGAGTTCCAATGCACGACCAGCTGTTGAGCCGGCTGCATTGCTCCAAAATGGGCGTTGGCAGCGACTCGTTCAGGCCGTGGGGGTTGTACAGCAGCGCTTGTGCGTCTTCTGACCTGGACGCGGCTGAAAAAGGAAGCGCAGTCGACACATGCAACCGTTTTTGTGCAGAGCCTTTACAAGCGCCCGCCCTTTTGCAGGGGTCATGCCCGCCTGAAGGGGAGCAGGACTCCATGATCAGTGGCCTGGCAGCAGATTTGTTGAATAGAAGTGCGGTGCTTAAGTGATCACAAGAAGTATACGGTGGCTAAGCTCCCAAGGAAGGGCATTTTTGTGGTGCCGCCTTCCTGTTTGCTAAGCCATGCTTTGACGGATCCTTGCCCCTGGCCATGGATGTGCAATGAAGGGTGTTTGCCAGGTTCATGACAGATCTTCTTGTGGACCACAGCCGCTTCACCAACGGAAAATTCGATGGTGGTCCGGGCCTGAAATACAACGAGTCTTGCGCATAGAACGCTGTGTTGTGGCCCAGCATCTCAGTGAGATGCCAGCTGCAGTGGTGCAGTGCCAACAGTGCTAAGGATTTGATCAGCATGGTTTTTTAGCAAAGTGCAGCAGCCTCGGGTGCATCATAATTTGCGAAGTAGCAGCTAGTTTCCCATATTTCTTGCGTCATGAGGTTCTGAACCGGAGCGTCCATTTCTAAAAGAGCTCACCTCAACGCAGATGTGGGCCGGTTGGATAAGCCTGGAGCTCTTTGCAACTTTGTCATTTGCCTTGAGAAGTCCTAAGATGTCTGAGATTCGCTGCAAGGCCGTCGGTTGGCATCGGGCGAAGACTCAAAAGACATCGTTTTGTTCGATGAGGTCATTGCCAGCCACCGAGCTGCGGAGAATTTGTTCCCTTCCGGAGCTGCAGCGTGGGAGTCTATCATTCCAAGGCGCAGAAGTTAAACAGGAAGACGTTCACGCTGAGCAAAACAGTCCTTGCCTCAGGACAGTCGATGGATTAGGTACTGGTCATATGGTGCGCTGCATGACAGGCAACGCCTTTCCTAAGCTTGGACTTCTCCGAAAAAGGATCGCGGGTGGCCTCCCCAGAGTTGCTTTCCATGGTCTGGCAGATGCAGGCCACTACCGTGAAGTCCGGGTCCAGGACCCTCCAAGAGGGAGCGTGCAAGCCTGAGAGGTTGTTGAGCTGTTGATCTTGCATATGAAGTGCACGTAGCTGCCCTCTTCGTGGGGTGATGACGTAACATCTCGAGGCAGTACAACACAATATTATAGGATAAGTTGGCCTCGTACCAGCTGCCACTAGCTAGCCATGCCAACCTGGCTGTCACGGGCTGCACCTGAACAGCCTCAAGCGGTAGCTGATCCAAGGGCACGCAGTTGCTGCATGATTCATAGAAACAAGGGAGCCAGTCATGAACCTTTTGCTCCGTACCGATGTGATTGTTGTGGCATGTGGAGGCCACATCACACGGAGCACGTGTGCTAACTTAGCCACAGCAAGTCTTGGGGTCTGGCAGTCTGCCGGCGCTCCACAGCCGTTCGTCGCAGGGGTGCTACATATTGAAACGATGAACGGCACTCACTCAATTGGGTTTGCTTTAGAGATGGCTCTCCTGTAGAGTCTCTCTGCCCCCGGGTTGATCCATCTAAGCCTCCGTCGCAGCTTTGCCACCGCTTTCAGTTTGCCTTGGGAAGTACGTCTCCATTTGAGTTGGAAGGTGGAGGAGCCCGAAGATGATCGCCTTGCCCGAGGCCAGGCATCCAAGGACTTGATTAAACGCTTGCCAAGCACGCATACTGTGTTACTCAGACCTTCAGTGGTGCTCTCAGAAGGTGCTGCCTGGCGCCTGGAAGAGCACGGTCCTAAGCAAAAGGATGTTTGCGTAGTGCGCCTGCACACATGTCTAACGGTATTTCTTAGGAGCCGGCTGTACAAGCCTCGGCCCATGGAGGAGCTGCTCGCTTGTTTTGCGTTTGTGGCCGTGTTGCGTGGCATTTGTATGCTCCTTGTGCAGGCCATGCTGAGACCTCAGATGCCCTTGACATGCGCGCTGTTGCGACAACTTGTATTTCTGCGGAATGCTAGCAGCCTGCCGATCTTTTCAGATTGCGTGATGGGTACTGAGGCCAGTCCCAACCGTTTCTGTCGAACGGCAGGACACTTATTTTGAAGGTTTCCGTGCTTTTTCGGCTTGTGCATTTTCCTTGGCACGTCAGGGATAAGTTTTCCAGTGTTCGTGCCTGTAGCCCAGGCCTGGGGTCGTTCCTGCACGCGATCCGCTGCCCGCAGCCGCCCGTTGGGATTTGAAGAGTTGCAGCTTTGAGGATGCCCTTCAACATGCCCAGCTCTTGGCTGAAAGCCGAGGCACCTCTCGTGTGGTATGTGCAGCATTGCTGGTTGTTGACCTGGGCAGCCTACTTGCCGGATCGCGGACGGCTTGGATGGCCAAATGGCTGCTTCTGCACTGCAAGCCTCGACTCTGCCTTTCAGGTCCAGACCAGACAGTGCTACAATGGGCCAAGATGGACCAGTGCCCCATGCCTTACACCGTATTGGGTGGATGATTGCTGATTAGCTGGCCCCTGAATCAACAACATGAACCCATCATGCAAGGTTTAGGCGTCTTGCACAAGATGACGCCTGGGGATCCCCGGGATCAGCCGCATCCTGAAATTATCTGGGCGGCTTCGCGTCGGCAACCCCAATCTTGCCGAGGTCCTCGCCGCCACCGCATGATCTTGCTTTGAGCATGCTGGTGTGGATCTCAAGATTGTCTGCTGCAAGCCAGCATCAGGCCAACATCACCTGTTAACAGAAGCTCCAGGCTGCTGCATGTGCTCGATGTGGTGCACTGAGAGTGGCCAGCCACTCAGGTATTTTTTCTGCCAGCAGCTAAAAGATGCAGCTCTTCTTACAAAAGGATTTGGCTGAGCGCCTCTTCACCTGGATGAAGGCGAGGCGGCTGGTCGTGCTTGGCTCAGACAGTCAGAGAAAAGTTTGGGAGCCAGTGCCATGAGATGAAATTCAACACATTGGAACAGCCGCATCATGGCTCAGGGAAGGGTAGCACACCCACGGGTCAATGCTGTGTAGGCATTCCTGCGCAGCTGGTGCTGTGGTGGTGCCTGAAAGTCCCAGACCAAATTGTGCACAGAAGACCCGAGTGGTGGATGCGAGGCAGAAGCTTCTACCTGCTTTTGACTATGGCGGTCCTGTGAACAGGGCGTGCTGGCTGTCGTTTGGGTTGGCTGCCTCTGCTGCTTTGCAGAAGAACCTTGCTCGATCAAAGCGATCTCAGCCACGCACTATATTGAACAGTGAGCAGTTCGGAGTTGAGGAAGCTTCTGCACAAGAAGTTGCGGAGTATGAGGAAGAGAAGGCAATTGAAGATGCCGAGGAGGCTGCAGAGCGCCGGACCGACCCCCAGGCATTTGAACTCGCAGCTTCATGTCAGTTTTGGAGTAAAGCCTTGCTCATGCAGACTCGTAGCAATCTCTACATCCATTGATCTGAACAGGGCCCCCGTGACGTGGATCTGGCCCGGCTACGAATTTGGGCCCGATCAAATAGACAGTTCAAAGTCCATCCTGCCATTGCAGTGCAAGATTCGCGACTGGTGGTCTCGGCACGAATCGAGAAGGCAGCAGCAGCTGCAAACGGTCAGGCTTTTTGTGTGCGTCTGGCATCAAGTGTCAAAATCAGAAAGGAGCTTGACCTCAGGACAGCCCACTCATTGGCGTTATGCCCGAGGCGCTTCTCTCCGCGAACCAGGGAGCCAAGGCCGAGGAGGATGACAAGATTGGGGGTGCACTGGAGCTTGCCTGGCGGATGTTGCTTGAGAACGGGTTTGTGGCGGCCACCGGGATGGACTGGCATCTTCTTCAAAGGCATAAGTCCCGGTGGAACCTGCTAACCCCCACAAAGCATTTCAATCCTTTTTTTTTTGGATGTGCCTCTTGTGGTATTACGTCAGTAGCCGGCCAAGCAGCGGCCAAGGCGAACGAAGCTGCGTGGCCGGCACAGTACCTGCTTGCTTGTCCCCAGCGATGCGCTCACCCCATTCTTTGGCAAGACAGCATTGTGGCCTGGAGGATGAACCCCGGGGTGTTCTTCACTACTAGTATCCAGCCTGTTCAGCTCATTGCAAGGGTACCAAATTAACAGTACAGTAGGCCAACATAGGCTGACCATGTAGATACACAATGATATACATACAAATGCATGAGCATATACATGGTCAACTCCACCCCATCACATGCGCCCACCCTATTGTCTGTCAAGCTGCTGTTTTCCCGTGTTCTTTTTGCGTAGGCAGCAGTATTTTATTGCAACAACCATCTTTCCCTCTATCTCTCTCTCTCTCTCTCTCTCTCTCTCTGTGCGTGTAAACACATAAATGCCATTAGTTCAAGTGATCGGAAGCATGGAATTTGCTCTTGTTTGCTATGGCTTGGATTACAAATCCCTGGCCTATTTCAAAATCGGTACACCTCATTGACATCAAAGGGCTAGCTCCAATTTGTTGAAGCAACTTCCGGAACCCAGTTCCCTCACTATTTTTGTGAAATGCGCGAGATTAGGAAAATAAAGAAATCTAAAATATCAAAAATTCCAAAATCAGCACTTTTTTAGCTTGAAGCCTTCAACGTGTTTTACATGGAGCACATAACATGTGGCCCTCAAAAAGGCATCGATCTTAGAAAGACCAGGAATAGTTCTTCAAAGGGTGCTTCTTCATAGCATGCATCCTAAGATCGGAGCCTGCCAAGAGGAATTCCCGGCTGCAAATTGTAGCCTTGTAACGGATTCATCTAGCATTTTTGCAGGGCAAAACTCGGGACCTCGGCCGAAAATTGGGAATTCTCTGGGATTTTGCCTGGAATTCTCAGGGATTTTGCTGCGAATTCCGTTGGAAGAGGTTAGGAAACCATAGGTTTTCGTTAGCCGATTGGCCCGGGTATCTCAGACCGCAGAAATCCCACCAGAATCCTGGAATTTTCTTGTCGTAGAACATGAACCTTCAGGCAGGGATGCCTGCAGAAGGAACGTATTACCAACAAACATGACATGGGCGTACTCTCCCCCAAGCAGGAGCGAGCTGATGTGGGCTTGGAATCAGAATGGATTTCCGTAGGATTCTGTAAGTATTGTGTAGGCTCTTGTAGGGATATGATGTGATATATGTGGGGATGTCGAACTTAGAAAAAATGTCCTTTAATGGACTACCACAGGAAGCCCTAAGAATTGACATTGTAACAGAAATTTGAAACACTAGGGTTTCCCCAAGGCTGTATTTCCTTGATGCCTTACTCAAGCGTGAAATATCAACATGAGGTCCTGCCAAGAATTTCTTGGATGGTGTAACTGCTTCACCACAAAAATTCACACTGGCTTCGGGCACCCCAATGAAGACCCCAAAACATTAAAATCCTTTTCATGGGGACCCCAAAAAGGTGCCCCCAATTTTGGGAACTCTTATCCCTATAAGCCACTACATAACCCTGTCCATTTCATGCTCCATGTTCTTTCCATTTGGCACTCCATTGTTGGGGATAATGTAAACCCTCAACCCCATATATACCTATATAACCGCCATATAACCTCTATACCCCCCTTGAAGGGTACCCCTAATTTTGGGAAACCATAAATAGGATCTCAGGATTAGGTGGACATCCCAACCGTAAGCTTTGTCCGGATCAATTGCGTTCATGTATTTGGTGAAGTGATTCCGCAGCCTATATGAGAATTTCATAGAGCATGAGGGCCACTACAGGAATGGTGGAATTCCAATTCATGTCACGTCATTTGTGCGTGGAATTAGAGAGTTTCCAAGAATGGGCAGATTTCTTAGCCAGTGAAAGCTGAGGTTATACAGCTTTCAGAGTCGGATATCACAGTGGAAGCCTTCCTAAATTTAGAACTGGACAGACTTGCTAACTAGTTCTGCAAGAAGCTAAGGATATCCCACAGTAGTTCCTACGCCGCATTCAGTACGTATAAGGCAGGGTTGACGATCCGTGCAACTCCCAATTGAATTTTTAGGTTTCATTTGGAATCCACGGCGTTCCAGTGCTTGGTGAAGTGGCTTAGCGAAGAATGTTTCGAACAGCATAACGGGCGCTTCAGGACTTGGTGAAATTTCTAGTGAATTTTGAGCAAGTACGTCTCTATGGAATTAGTGGGCTTCCAAAACAGAGAAGAAATCCTACTTGATCCAACCAAGCTGTCTTTATGATGTGAAGCACGGTACAAAGCAGTGGAGTATCCCACGAAACCTAAAAAGTTTTCGCTGGGTTTTTGTGGAATGAAACATTTCATTGTCTGAGGAAGTTTTTTCAGTCTAGCAGTCTTTTGTGATTTCAATGCACGTTGCACGAATGAATCGGTTTTCCAGTCGTGTACGTTAAATTACAATTCAGGAGGCTTCGATGGAATTCCTACTGCATTCCAACTACGTTGTAAGTTAAATCCAGGAGTTTTGAGGATTGGATGACGATGGAACTCCCACATGGATTCGGTTCAAGTGATGTGAGTTTGGCCTGCGCATAGAAACAAGCACATCGCAAGAATCGGTGCAGTCCCAAGGCAAGAAAAGTAGTGTTGAAGTAGACTTATCACATGAAGGTCTTCCGAAAGATTTTGTATTGCCATTATTCTTGGTCTTATGATCAATATTACTACTATTATTGTGATGATTGTTGCTCTTATTCTTGCTATTATTGGTGTTTGTCTCATGAGCCTATGCAGTCCTCGTCAGGACGTAGCGGGATGCCCACTCATATAGCTTAGGTGGACCTCCACCCAGTAATAGTGACTATAAGGGATAATAAGCATTATGTTAGGGTCCTCTTATACTCCTATTATACCACGATTACAGGGTGGGGGGGGTCCTCCTAAAATGTATCTGAGGTTCTTTATGGAGTGAAGGGCTTTCTGGGACATAATGGAATTTCCACTCAGAACTTTCTGGTCAAGTAGTTGCGAAACATGTGACTTGTTCTGCAACTGAATGTGGCCCTCACCAGCTGTTGGGATTCTTGGTTGAATTTGAGCATTTCTGTTGAACAGAGAACCAAGGACATCGTACTAGATTAGAGGTACAGCCATCGAATTTCCAGATTTGCGCATGCCATGGGGGTCCTTTTTAGACGTAATCTTCCCCTTTTTGTGAACTCTCCTTTGAGAGCTAGTCTTCCAGGGTTGAAGGCCTCCGGATTATCCCTTATGTTGTTTTATAATGACTCCTTTAATTCAACAATCCCTCAAGCGATATGGTTGGCATCCTCTAAAGGTGGGTATGTCCTTAAAGAAATACTTCCAGCGAAGTTGAAACACAGAGTAAAAATCATCACGAAGACAAAGAGGGTCCCGTAAACCATGATCCTATGAATCCACACTTGCTTCGAAATAACAATGCTGTTTAAAAAAAGAAGAGATTTGACAAGAAACCCTTGGACCTTAAACCATTAAGTCATTGAACCAATAATTCATTGATCTATTGGTGCATTGTTTCATTGTTCTAATAATCTCATTAAACCATGCAACAGTTAAACCAGCGGTTTTGGGCCTATGTAGGAGGAGGCTGGTTTGATGGGTTAATGGGTTTCCGCCATAGTCAGGAGTCCTGGATGCAAAAATGAATTTCCATAGGGTGCAGAACCATCAGCTAATTCTTTCATGGTTCAATGGTTTTAATGGTTTAAAGACATAGGGGCTTTGTATGGTTTAGTGTCTGAACCTCTGTTTCGAAACAGGACTGTTGTTTTGAAACACGTGTAGATGGGATGTTCGATGGTTCAAGGGACCTCTTTCATATATAGAAAGATATAAGTCTACAGGGCAGGAGATACCCTCGTACCCATATCTTGAATTATAACATAATCTCCGGATATGGTTCGTTGGGGCAAGAAATGTCGCACTCACCAGGTGGATGAGCTGCAGGATGTGGTGATTCAACGGCAGATTCGGTCATTGTCCGATCGTGTGAATGACTGGTTCACTCGAAGATGCTCAGAGACTGGGGTAGATTCCAGTCAGCTTCGCACCGAGTACTTGCAGAGCTTTTCTGTAGCCATGAGCCGTGCCATCTTCGTACAGGACAAGTGGGTACTGGTGCCTGTCATTGACTCCGTTGAGGTACCTGGAACATCCACAGAACCGGGCCAACCGGTGATGGAAGCAAACTGTCGTGTGGAAGTGGAAGACATGGGAGAAGGTCGTCAGCTGTTGATGTTGGTGGCAAGTTGTAATCTCAAGGAGGGTGACGTGATGGTGCGTGCTGTTCCTGCAACGGCCGAAGACATGCTGCTGCAGCATGGAGCTGTGGTTGAAGCCGATCTGAGTACAGAGCTGTCTCTGAAGGCTTATTTGTCCGAGTCCTCCCAAGCACAAGCTGTGCAGCGATTGGTTTCAGGGGCGCTGCCAGGACGCTTGTTTGGCGATGTCATTGTGCCAGGACTGGTGAAACCTTATGCTCGCTTCGATGGTGACGGTGGAACGCGTATGGATGACGTCGCAGCAGCGGTTGGTGACACTTTCCTGTACGCAGCACTGCTTCTTTCAAGCAACACGGAGGAACCTCAAAAGCTTGAAGCTGGCCAAATCCGCGACGAGTTTCTCTCCCTGGCTGGTGCGCAAAAGCGCGGCTGTCTCCAAGAACTGTTGCAGCTGATGAACAGCTGCCTTGGAGAATTCCCCACATCACCGACAGAAGATGAGAAGCTACTACGCTCGGTAAGGGGTTGCCGACGCCTGGCCGTCTCGTTCCGCCTTTACCGAAAGCAAGCGCTGAGGCAGGCTATTTCTGGAAGAACTTTCTTTCTGCTAGTCTGGAAATCTTGGATGGAAAAAGACCAAAAGTCACCTAGTTTTACCTAATCTGTTTCTGTGATGCAGGCAACTTATTGAAGAGGTCCAGGAAGCCGCTGACAGGGCCCAGGACTGCTGTCAGCAAGTGCAATTTGCCCCACTCTGGCTGTTGTCAGGATCGTGGTGGGCTGCCATTCGCTGTGCTTGGGAAACGGTGACTCCTGAGAGCACGGGGCAGGAGCGACCCGCAACAGCTGGTCGAACACGGCAAAAGCAGTCTTGCAAGAGCGGTTAAAGCAAAATCAAGCAAGGTAGACCCCATTGTTTCCAGCCGCAGCCCCGCCACATGAGCACTGAGGCAGCAACGCATCCTCAAAGCCTCTCGGTGTTCTTCGAGAGATTTGTTCAGCTCTGCGTCTCCGTCTCAAGCTTCAAGACAGGTGACTTAATTTCACGTTGTCTTGTGTTCAGTGTTCATGGGATTTATCAGAGCTTGCCTCAGGCGTCGGACACCAGCCGCCACGAGGCACATGCACATCCTTCTATGGTTGATTGTAGAGTGGGCGCTTTTGACCAGATTCCGGGTTCGCAGCAACATACGCAGGTGTCAGCATCACGAAGCCCAGGCAATCGCACGTCGCATGGGAGCCCATGCGACCACTGTGATCATGCTTTGTGATATGAGGTGAAGCTGGACCAAAGCCAGGCACCAAGATGCTTCGCAAGGCTGATACGGTGCTCTGCTATGCTATGCGCGCGGGATGTCGTTTAGACATTGTGGCAGTAAGGACAGTCGACCTCCCAAACCAAACTTTGCCAGGCGAGTAGTTGGCGTCATTGCTTGAGAACGGGTGTAGATCCTGCATGCTTGTGGGCTTGTGGATGGATAGTCTGATGCCAGGGGCTTCGCCGCGACCCTCACATGACGTCTGAAACTTGGCAGACTGAGCACTTGGTTGCTTCCAGATTTCAACCTGGGCCCTTTGGTGATTTTTGTGGGTGTTGTTTTGCAGGCTGCCATGCTGCTCTTTCAGGACCGTGTTGGAGATGGGAGGTTGTAAGATCAGAGCTGACTGCATGTGTGTGCAGGATTTGAAGGCTCGGCCACGCATGGTTTGCGCCCCCAAGCCTACGACCTCCTCTTAGCATTTTCTTGCACCGTGATATTGAGAAAGAAGGAAGTGCCAAGACAAGGAGCATGAACAACCTGAGGCTGCCACGACTGACATTCAGCCTGCAGTGCAGATTCTGCTCAGGCCATGATGGTTGCTTTCACTGAATCAGTCATGATGTGCAGAACAGAGGCAAGATCAGTCTGGAAGATGTGGATGCTCAGTGGGCGCGGCCAGGTTCAGAGGCACAGGTTCAGAGTTCACAAATGCTCACAAGCAGTCGTAGGCCACATCAGGTGATGAATAGGGATGGATGGACTGGTTACTAGTTGGCTTCGAAAGGTGTTGAGCAAATTCCAATGTCCGCATTGCCGTGCCGAGCCGCTCTTTTGCAGAAGTTTTCCGGGTGTGGGAAGATGTGGGGAGAGTTGCGCATGTGCAGGTCTACACTGAAGCTACGTGTGGACACCGCAGCTCTCTGAAGATAGGCTTGAGATTCTAAGTCTGCTGCGCCCAAGCAGCTGAGGGCTCCAAGGACGCAACGGAGATTGATTTGCTTCACCCCAAGAGGCGGGAAGATGTTGTCAGACAAGGCAGGGGCTGGCAAGAAACTGAGACTTCCTAAGGCTTGGTCTCGCGCTGAGGGAGCTGGACTCCTTGACAGGCGCGTGGTTGAGGGCACCGAGGGCCGAGAATGCCCAACTAAAGAGCAACCGGCAAGAGCACCTTATGCCCGAGGTCCCGAGTGGTTGTCAAGTCCTCTGCTCAGCCTCTGGCTTTCCAGCATCCCGGTGCTTTGCATCAGCGATTGTTGCCATGTGCGTTCTGCCAGGGCTGGCACGGGAGTATCCTCACTGGCACTTGAACCTGGTGTGTCTTGACTATGACGTGTCACTCACCATCTTGGTTTGCACTTCTGGTTTGCACTTCTGGTACGCAGCTCAGCTTGACAAAAGGGTGTCAGCTGAGGTGGCACTTTCGTCGCTGCAGCCTCAAGTGGACAGGGAGACAAGCCGTGTGCCTTTTCACAGCTTTTTGCGTCTGTCTGTGTCTGCGTGGAGGCCTCGGGCTTTTTGACGAGCACCTGCTGGCAGCCTTGGAGCCGGAGAAGGCGGAGACGTCTTGCACACATACGGTCTCCCAACTCAGCTACCCCCTGCGCAGGCGCGCAAGGGTCTCACCAGCGATGGCGCAGTTGTGGCGGCCTTAGTGGCTTGGAATGCAGAGTTGTGATGCTAAGATCATCACGCAGGTGCAGACCACGCGTGGCCGGCTGCGGTCCGCCAGTGCCCCTTGGCCCTTTCTAAGGCGAAGAGACAGAAGCGGTTCAGCCAGCTCCCGGTGTTCTAAGGACACCTTGTCCGTGACAGAGACCTTGCAGTGCCAAGCAGGCACTATGAACTCAGCAGAGCTGACGTGCTTATCCTGGGATGTTTCGAGGGCATCCGTGCTCGCACAGGGTTGGAAGAGCTGTCCGTGGCATCGTGCCAGGTTCTGAGCGTGCAGAGCAGCACGGCGGGAGGAACCTTCGAGGCAGCCGGGCTTCGATTGGCTTTGACACTGTGTCACTTCTGCAGTTGCCCTGTGGCCTTGCAAGGTTTGGGGCGATCCGGATCAGAGTTGGACACGCGAAGGCACCCTGCCCACCTCACCCTGTACAGGTTCTGCTTTTTGGATCTGACATTCCCTTTGAGGCCCCTCGAGGCGCAACAGCGCCATCGGTTCAGAGCGGGGCAGCTCAGAACCTGCACCAAAAGCTGTTATGCTGACAGGGTGCCGATTCCAAGTCATGGCTGCAAAAGCTTCTGCCATAGCTGTGGCTCTGTCGGCAAGCTGTCTCCCCAAAACCGGACAGAAATGACTCAAGTTTGATGAGCTGCCAAGCCCCTCACTTCAGCACAGCATGTTCAATGCTAGGATAGCGCTTGGGGTAATGCATGGTGAATTCAGCCGGCCATGTGCGCCGATTCCTGCAAGCTGGAGATATGGCTTGACTGCCGGTTCTCTGGTACCGATGGGCTTTGGCCTTACAAGTACCAGTCCAAAGTATTAAAGGAGCAGCTGAAACACGGAACAGCAAGCAAGGCCTGCGCCTCTGGCCTGTGGCTTGGCTGCAAGATGCTTTGTAGTTGATTGCCGCAGGGATTTCTATACCTGGAAGGTGACCGCCGCCTTCTTTACAGCGGTGCGACGCCAGGAAAGCGCGACCTCGTGTGTGGTGTCGCCTGGTTGCACAACAGCTTAGAAACCGGCTGGCCTGCTGTGGCACGAGACGCCTGCAGGCCGGAGGACGCGTTGAGGATTGCGATGGCAAAGAAATGGGTGTTCCTTGGTCCTTGGTGGCCGTCCGTCCAGATGCCGATTCAGCTGAATACCCATCTGGCCCAGGTTCTGTTCATCGGATCTGGAGGAGAGGTTCATAAGCATGCCCTTGAGATAATGGGGCACGTTGAGTGGGCTTCTTCCCTGAAACTGGCGGAACATTTTCACATACGATTTCAGTTTAACTATGATTAATTGGATGGACTTGCAAAGAGTGCCCAGGTTATCCTGCAGGTCTCGCCCTCATTGAAGTTCATGCAACACGAATCCGCACCTAGAATCTCGTAAGCAGCATCGCCATCCCTGCTGCAAAGGCTGACTCTCTGGTTCCATCGGGGGCTTTGTTGGCTGCTAGCAGCAGGCGAGGATGCGTTGGGACGGCTTTGAAGTTACATTGGCAGTCGCCCAGCTGCGAGTAGGCTGAATTTGCCAGGCATGGAACACGGCTGGCCGTGGTACTTAGCAACGAGCTCCACGATGGCATTTGGAGTGTTTGCGAGTCATTTTTAACTTAAAGCCAGGGAACGATTACCCAGCACACGTGCAATTGTCTAGCAGAGCTTGCCTCGTCATAATCAAGAACGAGATGGGAGGCTGCCTGTGCCGTGTGAGGAAGCACGCGAGAAACCAAGCGTTGTTCAGGCAACATCTGGAGGATTTCGAACCAGCCCTGGCAAGGAGCTTGCAGACAGTGCGGCATCGTACATTCAAATGTGAAGGTAGCAATGGTCTGCGTGGAAGCAGTAAGAGGACCGGTGCGCTGGTGGTTTCTGACGACGCTTTGCTCAACAAGGCCATGGTGAAGCGTATGGCTGCTTGGACTGGATGTGCACCAGGTGTATTTTGTTCACGGCCGTGTTTGAGGCTAGTGCTGCTAGACAACCAAGGCGATGAACAAATCGGAGTCCCCGATGCTGAACACAGTGCCCAAGACTGTAAGAGACTGGCAGACTAGCAACTGGCCCGCTTCAAAGTTGCGCAGTGATCAGATCACATTCAAGGTGTGTGGCGGCATCTTTTTACCCGCTGCTGAAGACCGGGCCTAAAGCAAGCACCTCTCGTATCAGGGCAGTCTGCAAACGCTGAGGAATTGAAGCTGGTCACTGTGGAGTCCGTGGAAGTTGTCAGCGGCCACTCGGCGAATTTCCGAGCATGAGAGGCAGAGAAAACATGTCATTGCCCGTGGTGACGCAGGCGAGGCGGACAGTCCCTCGCTTGCATCCTTATGCGCTTCGCAAATTTCCTGAAACCGATCGGCTGCAAGTCCTTAGAGCCTTGTGTGTCGAGGAGTCTACTTGGACATGATCAGCATGCTGCAAGACGGTGAGGGTGCGCTGGTGGGGTCCACGGCCAAAGCTCTTTGCAGCCAAGCTGCAGACATGCTTTGCCCAGTAGCTCAATGCATGAGTTACTATAATTCAATTCAGTTCATATATGGATTCGCGCGTGTTGCCTTGAGCCAGCAGGTTTCATCCATGCTGACTCGGGAGGGCGTGCGTTCAGAATAAACGCGGGTCCTGTACATGACTCTCGGCATACATGGGCCTCTTGCGCAGAGTTCGGCGTCGTGCTGTGTTGGGTTACCTGCAACAAACCAAAAGGCATACGTCGCCCTTCCTGATGGACGCACCAAGTATCTGAGACCCTTGATACGAAAACTTTTGAAGTGAGCTGATCAATTGCATGTAGCCTCTGCATCTGCAGAATACAGAAATCCACAATATTTGTCTCAGCAGAGGTGATGTGGAAGCCGGCGATCAGATCTTGATGGTGGACTTGGGGAGGGGAGGCGGAGGAGCACCTGCCAGCCGCAGCCCCTTGACTCAACGACCGTATGAGGACTAAATTACCCCATGACCTTTTTTTCCCAAGCCCTACCCTGCAACGACTGTCCAGTCAAAGCTTGTGCAAGGCGTAGGCGTAGCAGTGGAGCCGACCTAAAAGTCGCGTCTCTGAGCGGCTGCATATATCATGTTGTCTTCATACATAAGCTCATCGTAATTGAAATGGCCCAAGACCGCACCTTCTCTTTCCATATTCGACTCTCGTAGCTCGACTCTCGTAGCAGAATGCGGCAAGAAAGAGATTTGTCTTAGTGGATCATCGTTGTTACTCCAAAGAACATGCCTCAATAACTTAGCCCTGCAGGTCATGTGGTAATCGCTAAAGGATACGATTTTTCTACGGTCGCCCTGTTCAGGAAACGCCATAGCGGTCGCTGTTTGAAGATGTTTCTGCGTGTGTGTTTGCTCTGTTTATAAACGTCGGAGACATTCCTAAAATTTTTCTGATGCATCTGAACTGGAAAGCGTCCAGCTTCTTTGACAACGATTGAGTTAAGTGGATAGTCTCTAGAGTAATTTTGAACGAATGATTGCATCAAGCACTATCAGTTTCCATCGCTTGCTGGCTCTTGCCGCTTTCCAGTACGCACTGAGCTTGAACCATGTGCGGCATACCTCTTGAATCTTTTGTACAACTTCATGCTGGATGTTAACTTCTTTGTTGATCTCATTTTCTACATATGTTGCTTCAAACCCATGACCTAGTGTGTGCAAAGGTGTAAATGTGGGTCGATGCCAAGTGGAGCGGCGACAAGTTGCCCGGATTCGCTTGCACTTCGACGGAGAGCACAGCCGCCCGGCTGCAGCCTGGGGCTAACTAAGATGCATCTGTACACTTCATGCCCACCAGGTCAACTTTTCCTAGAGTGGACGGACACCGTTCGCCTTCATGGTCGGCATGCATCCTGGCTTACCCGCCTTGAGTGCTGATGGTTTCTGGCTGGCTTAAGAACTCAGAAGCTGCTTCACTTGCAAGCCTCTGAAGCATATTATGGTTGCGGGCTTCAAGGCGGTTGACAGGGTGGGCTAGCTTTGTAGCACGCCTCTGAGGCGTCTGAAGATGCATGCTACCCGCTGCCAATCACGCAGCTTCGAGCAGGCAGAGCGAGCCAGCTGCAGGTCTCTTACATTGCAACAAATGGGGCTCACTGAACAATTGCAGAAAATGTAGAGACACGTAGAGACTAGCTGGTGGCCCAGAAGGCCAGCAGGCAAGTTCCCTTGTGCCAGGCGATGAGATATTGGTCCACTGGGCAAGTACAAGCCCCTCTCGAGCTGTACATGCCGTGCATTCGATACCGTCCGAGAAGTAGTTTGGGCCACGGCCTCGAGGGGTGGAGGGGCAAGGGCCACATATAGTCCCTCATAAGTAGATAGAATATGGGGTATATGGGATCTTATGATAATATACCCAAAGCCATATTCTATCTACTCAGGGGGGACTGTACAACTTAATTACTGCGGGACTTCTGGACGCACGGGTTGTCAACTCTGAGGGGGGGGGATATTGTAACAGCTCTTTCCTTGAACCTGCTGGTACAAAATGCTGTACCATTGCCTTGAACATGTCGCTGCTGATTGTATTGCACTGATGCTTCAATTTGGTCGCATAACAGGTCAATGCAGAATCAAGCGGGATCCATAATTGTAACTCCGGCAATATCGTCGGACAATCTTGCTCTTACCATTCTGTTCCGTCTCAAGAGGGGGCACACAGCTCGCAAATCCATCCTTACTCACGCTCCGGACCCGGTGAGGAGTAGTCCTGGGCACAATAAAGGAATATATTGGGGTTATATAGGGCTCATGGAAAACAAAATGGAAGCTAATACATTATACCAGGGCAGACAGTTTCCCAAAGTGAGCAACCTGTGTTGTCAGGTTGGTGGACTTGCCAAGTCTCGCCGGCTTGCAGGCACCCGATGGCCTGCATGCGCGTAAAATCCGACAAGCCGCATAAACTTACTGGTGGTCAGTTGGGGGAATAAGGGAATCTCATCCCTATAGAACCCTATAGAGTTTATTCCCTTCTTCCCTATTATAACCATAATATATATATATATACTGTTAATTATACAGTATTACTTTCCTTCTTCTGTTCCATTATCTCTATACAACCTCAATATATTCCCTTATGCCCTACCAAGCCCCCAGTAAGAGAAAGTGCCATAAAGGTTCACTGGCTCAATCCAAAGCTCAATGGAAAATGAAATGGACAGTGGGGTTATGTAGTGGTTTATCGGGATGAGGGGTTCCCGCAGTTAGAAGGGGGTACGTTTTTGGTGGTTCCCATAACAAGGATGACAGTATTTGGGGTCTATATTAGGGGTCCCTCTATTTATGGGAGCCACCAAATGATCCTTCTTTAACTTTGTATATAGTAGCTTCCATTTCATTTGCCATTTTATTCTCTATTATCCCTAGGCCGTGAATCCCCTAAACCCTAGACCTATTTATGCATACCATCATCGAGGTGGCTTGCAAAAACGGCACCGCCGCCTCCATCTCACCTCCATCTGCTGTGCTAATCAGCCAGCAGACAAGCTGGGCATTTCCAGGGACAGAGGCTGAAAACTAGGGTTTAGGGTTCAGATAACCTAAAATGATAGTTCCATAAAATTACATCCGAAGTAGTATGATCATCATTATGAGTGAGGACCCCCTCAAAAAGGGCATCCTTTATTTGGGAAGCTCTCAGATCTGAACGTAGACTGAGGATGATCCTGGGATTTGTTGTGTTGTCATTGGCGTAGTCGTGATTCAGCTACTGACCTTCTGTGCCCGCAGGAGCTAAAGCTTTAGATTAGATTGCTTTCCATCCCGCAGTGCCAGCCAACGACAACAACAGTGGCTGCTGGCGCGAAGCAAATGACCTGCAATGCATTCTGACGCTGCATCCTAGGCAGCAAGGTACGTTCCTTTAGGATCTGGGCATGCTGTGCTCTCAGGCCGTTTGTGCCAGCCAGCGCTGAGGCAGACTCTGTTCTCCTTGACTAGACCAGGATTCTGCAAATTCTGGAGGCGAAGCAGCTGGATCTTACCATGGTGGAGCGGTTGAGGATGGAGATGGAGGCTTTCATCCGCTGCGTAAGCTTCCGGTAAGTTTCGTAGCTGTGGGCTCTGACCACTCTGAGCCTGTGCTGTTTTTAGGATCTGCGGAGCCAGCTCTGTTCTGAGCTTCTTTGAAGGTGATTGCATATGATTTCATGTGGCCCCTCAGCTTGGGTTGGGGAGGTTGCTGAGGTTACATCGCAAGACCCAGGCGCAGGATGAGCACAGAGAGGCAGAGCAAGTGAGCCCATCACTTCCCTAGCATTTCAGGGGGCAGCGTCGATGCCGAATGATTCGAATGCCAGGCTCTTTCAGGCGCCAGGCAGGTCCTGGGATGCACATACGGCAAGGCGCAGCGCTGCGTTGCTTCCTTCGCTTGAACCCATGTTTCCTACTGCTAGAGCTACACACGCTGGCTTTTCAAGCCCAAGAAGCCAAAGGTGCTCGAGAACATTTTGCATCCCAGAAGCCCATGCCATGATGCACGCCAACGAGAGGCACACACCATGCATGTCATGCATGTGTTTGAGGTTGAAGGCCTTGGGGTATCGATGGATAGGTGGCCGCAGCTGCTGCGCGGCAAGTGCTCGGACAAGTGTACGGCAAGGTGGGGGGCATACATTCACATGCTACCGGGTAAGCTGATTCGACTGGATCAGACAAGCTTCTAATTCCTACCATCCTGCTCTTGAGGTGCTTGAGGACTTGGCTGTACCTCCAGATGAGCCTGCATGTCCAGCAACTAGAGCAGACAATCTGAAGGCTGGATTGTGCATTTTCCGCACCTTCTCATACATCATGGCAATGCGCTTCTGGGTGGAATGCAGGATCACGTAGTCCTCCAGTGTGCTGACAACTTAGCATATGGAGCCAGCTTCGGTGCAAGTCCAACAAAGCCATTCTCAGGTCGCCAGTACTGCTGTAGCACTGGCCTTGGACATTGCCCACCTCCATCTGCAGCCGGCCGTGTTTGACTGCCTAAGGCCAGACTCGTAACGACTGCGCTTTGCAGGCGGGAGTGCAAAGAGCAAGTGAAACGGATGGGAATAATAGGCCCACCATCTAGTCATGTCTTTTACTTGTGTTAGGAACACCTCGCATTGATTTGAAACCTGAATTGGAGGTGATTGCAGATCACTGGACCTGTAAAAAGGGTGTGCTGAAATTGTATTGAGACTGTATGTATTGAAACGGTATTGAAACCTGTATTGAAACTGTAAATGTTTGTGTATTGAAAGGGTAATGAAAGTGTAATGTGCTGAGTCATCGGAACATTTGGGGTGTAGTAAAAGTGTAAATGCAAAGTGGATTGAAACCATAAATAAACCATACAAATAATTCGCTGGCCCACCATCCTTTCATGCTTATCGGATGGTCTCAAATCTAGCGGTTCAGCGAAGCATTGTGCACTGGCAGGCTGCTCCCTGCAACTCCCCCTGCAGGCGGGACGACAGTCGACTCGTCAATATTTGGATCGGCAAGCCTTCAGCTAGCAGTACCTCAAGCACTTGACAAGACCGAGGCGATATCGATAGACGCATTTGTTGCGGGCTTTGCCCAACCTTTGAATCCCATGGCATCCTACCGCTGAACCAAATGAACAAATTCTGCAAGGTGAATGGGTTCCATCAGCAACAGCTTTCAGTAAAGGACTGCCAAAGGAGCAAATGCCACCCAGCATGGGCCGCCATTGATCACTCATGCATCTTTCTTAAGAGCTGGGCTGGGCGGACCAAGGACAACGAGCCATCGCGCTCGATTGTGCAGGCTTTTATTTCCCGCACTTTTCACCCCTTGCCTTCGATCCCTGACCATGCTTCTCTTACAGCATTTGCAGCATTAACTGGAAACTCAACCGAACCAACAGGATTTGGAGTGCTCTGCAAAGCAATCTAATGTCTAATGCAGTTTGCGGCGCACGTAGCTTCCTGGCACAAGCATGGAGAGGCGACCAGCAAGATGCTCAAGCATCCGTCCTGTCCTGAGCTGTTCAGCAACCTTGTGCTCCGAGGCAGGTTTTGATGTCCTGTTATGCCAAGGTAATGCTGCATGGTGCCAACATGTTCAGCAGGCTTTTCTGCTGCACCTCAGGGGAGGAAGTCCGGCACAAGTGGATGTGTGCGGGTTAAGTACTAGCAGGCACTGAACTGTAATGAAAGCTGACTTCGCATGTCTTGAACCAGGTCCAAGCGCGATGCAGCAAGATGCGAGGGAGATGCTGAGGGAACACCCCAGAGTCCTCAGCAGGAAGCTTACCAAAGAGAATCAGAGCCTGAAAAGAGCACCTGCTGGGATTCCACGTCCCCTGGAGATGACTCCACAGATGGAACTGGGCAAGAGGTCTTCTCGGCAGATTCTAGCCACGCTCAAGAGCAGGCAGATGCCACGAAGGACGATCCTGGCCTCAGCGCGGTTCAGATTGTTCCGGTTCCAAAGGGTTGGGATGCAGGCGGCATGGACGAAGGCTTCAAGGAAAGCACTACCCCTGGCTGCATTCCTGGAGACGTGGAGCGTGCCCAAGATTCTACAGGAGTTGGCTGGCTGGACTCGCATGATCACAAGCTGCGTGAGCGAGTTGATAGGCGCCGCCGAATCTGGAACCTGCGCAAAATGAGAAGAGCATGGCGTGTGTGGTGCACACCATGGGTGGAAGATGCCCTTGGCGATTCCATCCACGAAGAGGACGCAGTTCAGGAGGACTCAGGCCAGAGCCATAAGGCAGAGATGATGCAACCGGATGACGGGAGGGAAAGTTGGACTGAATCAGTGGATGGGCAGAGTCAGCGCAGCCATACGCGTCAGGCCACTCCGCCTGAAAGCGGGTCGCATAATACGGAGTCCGGACGCATCTCCTCTCCAGAGTCTACCCAGGTGGATACAGCGAAGCCCCAAAATATCTGCACGACGGAGATCTCGACAGCGCTGCTCTGGGCGCCCGATCAAGAACCTCGTGCCAAAGCAGATTCCGTGAAGTGCTGGGATGCCGCCAAAGTGGATTTAAAACATGGCGCTGCTCCAGCTCATAACGGACTTGCTGGCCGCAAATTTCTAGCACCTGAGCTGGGCCCGTGTAGTGATGATCCCTGGCCCACAAGGACGACTGAGCCGCAGTTTCTGATTAATCTTGCAGAAAAACAGATTTTGCGAGGAGGCGAGGGCATCCCCATTTCCACCAGTCTTCATTTCTGCCTCCTGGCTGCAGTTGCAGATAGCTGCAGACGTAGACTTGCTGAGGTTGGGGAACCTCAAAAAACAGTTTTCGCACGATCCAGGTCCACCGCTTGCGCGGCATGTTAAGAGATGCAAACGGCACGTTTCTGGAGAGCTAGACAGCGAAGCTAAGGGCCTCAGCCCGCGATTCGAGCGTTGTGGCGGTTTGTGCCTCAAGAGATCTCAAGAGCCAATTCCTGACATTCATTTAACATGGTGGTACTTGAAATGCCAGGCGTCTCCGTGCTGATTGGCTCAAAGCTTCAGATATTCGGCTGTTGCTAGTGCTCGCGGTGCTCCCCATGGCAATCTGCTATGTTCACGAGATGGAAGGGTTAGGGCGGTGCCTTGTGGCCAATCGCGACATAGATCCCGGTTCAGAGATCTTGAAGGAGAGGCCACTGCTGGCAGCCCCAGAAATGGAACTGGGGCAAGTGGACCTGGCTGGACTGGAGGCCACCTGTGAGGACACCTGCCAGCCCTGGTCACACTCGACCATCGATGGGGCTGCAGTCAGGCGCCTCCTCGGCTTGCTGCAGATGTACCTGGAGAGCGATATTGAGATCAAGCGCTCTGTGCTTGAACTTGATGATAGCATGGAAGGCACTGCAGCGGCTTGCCTGGTTAGGAAGCTGGCGTCCCGGCTGTTGGAAAGCGGGCTGTTCGCACAGCTGCGCAAGATGGAGTTGCATTGCGTTTTGCCACTGGGTCCAAATCTTCCTCAACTCTGTTTCTTCTCTAGTTGTTGTCAGCTTTAGCCTTAGAAGGCGTTTGCATGCACTGCCTAGGAGGATCTTCTGGACCAATGCATTCCCCTTTGCTGATAGGGGGTCAGCTCTCTTCCGCACTCTCTGCTACTGTGCACATTCCTGCCGGCCGAATGCCTTCTATTACCACGATACCCGCGATGGAGGCCAGTCGGGATGCATCGTCAGCACAGTGCCCATTTCTCGCGGCTCTCGCATTGAGATCTCCTATGTCCCGCGACAGTGCCTGGTCCATTCCTAGCAGCATTCCGGCGAATGTAGCAACGGACTCAAATCATTTGCCTAATTGAAAATGGCCCTTCTCAACCACGGCGCGTGCAGACTTCAGTCAATCCTCAAGATGGCAAAAGCTATTCAGTGTTATAGCCCAGCTCTAGCGAAAGTGGGGCACATGTCTAGCGGTTCAACTGTTGACAGGTACGTGTTGCTTCCACGGCATCTTCGGCAAGCGTATATACGTCAAACCCGAGGATTTAATTGCAAGTGTCCGCTATGCATAGAGCAGGAGCTGGAGCGGCTGGATGTGGAAGAAGAACTGGAGGCCCTCGGCCATGCCGCTCCTGTGCTCACCAGCGGACAAACTCAGATCTGCTGTTGTGTGATGCCTTGGATGGGCCAACTTGTGCCCATGATTCACTTAGCACTGGCCCTGCAAGCGCAGAAGTCTACAGTTGTTTCCTTCATCACTACTACATTGGGCGTGCATCGCTTGCGCACCCTTTTGGGCAACAAACGCGCAAAGCTGAACCTGGTGCAGATTGATGATGGATCCGATGAAGATTCCGAGCGCGTCTTTGCCAGGCTGCTGCAGACTCCAGGCCAAGAACCTTTTTTGGAGGCAAACCTGACAGTTGCAGGTTTGGCGAAGGAACACGTGCAGAGCTTGGTTAAGCAGGGTGTAACCCACTTTGTGCTGGATTGGTTGAGCTTTGGCTTCGCCGAGTGCATCCGTGCCAGCGGGGCGCAGTATTGCATATCAATGCCTGGGTCAACTTTGCAGGCTGAATTTGGTTGTGCGGTTAGGGATTCATCCGAGTGCTCTAGCAACACCCAAAGGGCCATTCAAAGCATCACGCACAACGCGAAGATCCTGGTTCATGGATTTCCGGGGATGTTTGGGGCGAGGGTGGGACAGATGGGCGATCAAATGACGTGTGTAGGGATTCTGGCCAGCGAGCCTGAGACTTTGCCTGCAGATGTCGAGGCCTTCCTGAATTCTGCTGGTCCACCGGTCCTGTATGTGTTCTTGGGGTCTTTGACAGTGCTGACTGTCAAGGAGTTGGAGGTGCTGTGTCGTGCTGTTTCGTCGCCGGGCGAGTGGCGTGTGATGTGGTCTTTGCCTGAAGATCTGCAAGTGCTGCTTCCCAGCATATCCAGAAACGCAGGTTTTTTCCTGTCCCACTGGCTTCCTCAAGCTTCGATTCTCAGACATCCGGCATGCATTGCTGCATTGATTCATGCCGGTTGGAGCTCCCTTGCAGATGTGATCCTGTCTGGCAAGCCTGTTTGTGCTCTTCCTCTATTTGGAGATCAGCCTATCAACGCGCAAATCGTGCAGACGCTGAACATTGGATTGACCATCTCTGCAGGCCGCAGCTTGGGAGACATGGATCCAAAGCGCATTCAGGCCTCAATACGAGCTGTGATTCAGGACTCGCGTTTCTCTGAGGCAGCTCGTGCGTGGAAGAAGGCTGCAGGCTTTGGAGGTGCAGATTACGCTGCAGGAGTGGTGAGAAGTTATTTCGACCAGGAGGGCAGGGAGACTTTGCAGGAAGGTCGTGCAGACCTGGAGATGGCAGCAGTCACTCTCGCAGAGGACATGCGCTCGCTGAGTTTTGATGACGGAGATGCGGAGGAGCTGTTACCAATGGGTGCTCAGTTGGAGGCTTGGGGTTGTTGAGCAGCTGGACCATCACCTCATGCCCAATCATCAAGCCTTGACTCCTTGTGATTCTTGTGAATTACTCAGCCCATACAACCTTGCATCCATCAAGCAGCTTGCATGCGCTGTGTGGCAGCTTTCTGCACGGGACCCATCCCAGTGCAAAGCGGAACTTTGGTCGTTAAGAGTTCTAACAGCAAGTTGAAGCTTTTACCTTGTATTTTTTGTGGTGGGTGATGGCCTTCAGGTGTTGCTCATGCAAAGTGAGCTGCTGCTTGGTGCGGCAGATGCTGTTACTTGGTGGTTGTTGAGGCTTAGAGTTTATCGGGATTTCCAGCGCTTGCTCTCATACGGCGACACTGTGCTTCGCAGCGTTGATCCACGAGACATATGCGAGCTGGTTGGGTTGGCAGGTGCGGTTCACAACAAGTTGCTCCGGCAAGCTGTCTCCTTGGGACTACTATCTCCGTTGCTGGATGATGAGCCACATCGGCCAGCCAACTTTGCAGCCGTGTGGCTGGCATCCGGCAGCACTCTGGCGCACCACGTCGCAGTCTTTAAAGGCCAGCCCAGCACAGGGAACGGAGTTTGCACTTTCACGCAAGCCTGATACCCCACAAGTTGCAGCATAGTAGTGTCCATCAACAGGCTCTGCAAACTTAAGGCCAGCGCTGGCCGGCCTTGCCGGCACCCGGCCTGCCTCCAACATCCCAGCGACGAGTTCTGTTCCTCATCTCTAAAATCCTGACCACCTTGAGGAAGCAGGATGAGTTGAGGAGGGATTAGGGCAATTTTTCCCTGGACACTATCGTCAACAGCCTTCTGTCTTGTTTTTGAGACCACAATTTTTCTAGGGTTTTAGAGGGGTGCTAGATCCTCATATGTGCGTTTCAACGGGGGAATGGGGGGCCCATGATGCTGGCTTCTTGGGGGCTGCTGAGGTGAAAATGCGCCGTGAACCCCAGCAACAGGCTCAAAATACGTGCTTTGGGCGGTATTTGTGGCTTTTAAATGCCAGCAAGACCTACTGTTGGCTGCACCTGCCGTGTATGACGAGCATGCGAGTTGACCTGCGCAAGCACTGTAAAGTGCAGCTTTTGCATGGTTTTTACATGCCTCTTGCATGTATTTCCAGCACTTTGGCGGCTCCTGTGCTACCGTTCTACACCACTTTGACCTACCAGATTTGTCCAAATGTTCACTTTTGAAAAACAAACGGAGCATGTTTGCCAAAATATGGTAGGCCTGCACAGAAACCGTGTTCAAAGCGCTTTGGATGGTTTCTCTTGGGTCTTCTACGCAAAGTGGGGTCCCAATTTCTCTGATGATGCTGGTGTGCGCACGGGGGGGGGGCGCGAGGGCGCAAGCATCATCAGCACAATTGGGGTCTCATTTTGGATAAGTTGGGGGGCAGAGGCCTTTATAATCCCACAAAATCACAAAACGGTCGCAAGAACATCACTTTTACAGAAGCTTCTAATGATTTGGAGCATCATCAGCACAATGGGATTCTGTTTGGGGTTTTAGAACGGGGGCCCTGAGGCCGGCCCTTGCTGCCAGGCACGAAATCCTGTGACAGCCCGGCCGGACTTTAAGAGCCTCAGGCTCCAGCGGCGGACCCAGGACCAGTCAGGCTCTCCCCAGTCATAAGTCAGACAGGCAGCAGTTTCGCTCAAACGCAGCCGATGCCGCAGTAGCGGTAGCGCGATTAGGACCGGATGTTGTTTTACATTCGAAAGAATGGAATGTTCGCATTGCTTTCGTATTCGGGGACTGCTCATGAGACCAACCGTTGCAAGTGAGAGGAGTCAGTGCCAGGCTGCCGGGACTGTGCAGGACCCTGCCCGTCTGGGCGTCAGCCTGTATTTGCGCGGGATGTTGCGAAATTTTGCCGCAGAAAGGAAGGTGGAGGTATGTCTTAGCAGAAGCCGAGGCCGGCAGCGAGGCGATGCTTCGGTTGCTTTGAATCGCTTGCCATTCTTCTCCACGTTTGAGGAACAGAGAGTAGCGCAAAGAACATAATAGAGAAATCGGTTTAGATGTGCGACGTCGGCGACGCCGTGTTGTGCAGGAGTGACATGATTTTGCTGGTGAACGTGCTGGCCATACTGCAAACGCTGCTTCACCGCTAGTGAACTTCACCCCCACCCCCTTATGTGGCTAGGACTTAACCTTCCAAGGTCCGCCCAACAAATTGCAGCAGGTCTCGCAGACTTAGTATGTCGACAGGCTGTGCAGGCTGCGTTTTTGGAGTGTTTGGAAGGCACCGGGTTTGTTCGGCAGTTGCCCTCACAACCGCCCTCCTTGACGGTTTCTGACAAAATCCCGAGCAGGCTCCTTCGATCTTTCAGCCCGGGCACCCCCTTTTTGAGCTGTAGGGAGAGGGAGGAGAGGGCTTTTCTTTCCTCTGTCCAATACTCCCCCAACCCAAGGTTGGCGGATTCTAGGCCTTGGAAGGCCACCCAACGTAAAGCCACAAAACAAACAACAAATCACAAAATGTTGCATACACAGCATAGAAATAGTATCCGCTACTCGTGGCTGACAGGGCATCGAAACAGTGGAAGGGGGCGCACCATCCGGAAGAAGAAGAAGAAAAGGAATGCAGAACTGCACGTTTCAGTGCATGACCCTTTCCAGGTGACATGGAGAAAGCTACCGGCCTGGATGAAGAAGGTCTGGTTCAGATTTCTGTGCTAGGAGGCCAAGCAGCTGCACAAGTCGCTTTTGGATCTTCCGGAGCTCCGGGTCCCACACAGACTGAGCGCTTTCTGGAGTCTTGGCAGAGCTGGCACAGCTTGTTCTATCCTTTCTGTGTTTGGTGCACTTTGGAGTGTTCAGTCTTACCGAGGATGCAATTCTGGAAGCTGCGGCAATAGCGCTGCGACCTGCATGGTGGTCCCATCTGCCAATTTTTACAGATCTTAGGCAGGCCAAAAACTCCCCTAGCGGCGGAAAAAAAGAGTGCAGACAGGGTCCTTGTGTCACTCGAAGTTTCAGCTGGCATCATGCGCAGAGCCCCAGGACCCGCAACCTCGGCGCTCGGCATCTGCACCTCCCGAGCGCAGGAAGAGAGGAGACCAGCGCGCTTTTACCATGCTCTTGCACTTGTTTACGAGAGATACAAAGGACGCAGACAAAAGATCGTCCCCCGGGTTATCTCGACAGGCTGGTGCTGATTTATTCATATGCTCCCTGCATCTCTCTGCAGAAGTATGTTACGGCTTGATATGCCAAACTGACAGGGCTCGCCACGGCTCCAAATTCTGCGATCCAATCCCCCAACTCAGTGTTCCCAACGTGCTCTGCTCGGAAAATGCACGTGGCGGGCTTCCATAAGATACGAAAGGCAACATGCCCCAAAGATTGCCGAGGCCACTTTTGCCCAAGGAGCGACCCCAGGCTTTGCCAGCTTTCTGCTCATGCTTAGCACGTTGACCTCATGATCTCTTAATTTGTTTCTATGAGAGGAAATAGGCCGAATGATGGAAGATTTCGCAGCGCTTTGCGCAGGCTGCTCGAGCACCACCTGAGCGTGGCCGTGATCGTCGCAGCAAGTCGGTGACGGCCGTGCTGCTCTCAGGAGTCTGTGGCTGCTGTGGTGTCCGTCCTCTGCTAGTTGCCAACGCAAAGCCAAGTAGCCAAGAGCATGAGTAAATCTGTAAGCTGGCAGCAGCAGAAGAGAATCTACAAGAGCATTTCTGGGGAGCTAACCTAGCGGGCATGCTGCTTATTCAGGTTGCTGGTGCTTCCTCTGCATGGTAGCGTCTCCACCACCAGGCCTTTTACTAGTGCATGTTGCAGGCATGTCACGTGATGAAGTGCCTTGGATATCACCAGGAAAATGTACAACCGACTTGCACCAGCAAGTTGATGCCCTGACGCGTCCCAGTGCAAGCTAGACCGCTGTCAAAGACTAGGTTTGGTGCATCGCTCGGACCCAGCAGCGGAAAAAAAATCATTCATCAGCAGCTTGCCTATGCCTGGAGAGGACTCAGTTATCCGTGCACGCAAGCCTCTGGCTTCGCAGCTCTCTAAGCTCAAGAAACATGGAGGGAAGCGAGAGTCCTACCAGATGGCATGCGCCATTGTGGCTTGCAAGGAGCTTTGTTTCAGCACCAGGTCCCAGGCCAGCTGGCCTCCATGCAAGCGGTAACTAACTAGCCAAGATGGTTTGTGAGCAGATAGATTTGGAGAGGCACTTCGTCTTGTCGTGTTCGTTGTTGTTTCGGTTTCTTGTCGATAGATACCGAGTCCCAAGCCGAGCCACAGCCCCAAGACCATAATTTAATAGAAGAACATGTACATAAGCTGTTGTCACAAACTCCGCAAAAACAGAAGACTTCGTGTCAAAACAACATCTTAAAAAGACATAGGACTCGTGAATCGCAGGTGCCTGTGCAAAAGTGTGGTTTGCGGCACGAGCGCGGACCAGCATTTGCACTTCCCATCGCACTCATGGATTCCTTCGGCACGTGTTTTGCTGATTTTCACGGGCACTGCGCTGGCGCAATGTGTCCAGCAGGGCAGGAATCACAGGCCGAACTGCTCCACTGAACTGAGTGCTCTAGGGTAGTGTTGTGAAGCATGCCTTGGATGTCAGGCACAAGGCCAAGGACATGGATGTCACCCGCGACCGGTCTATGCGACGAGCCACGCAGTGCCTAGCCCTCTTCATCATGACAAAGAAACGGTAGGTATCTTGCAGATAGCTGCTACCATTCAGCCTGCGAAAACCAGGAACTTGGCTGTTTGTCACCGCCTCGAGAGCCTCCCCCAGAAGCAGCACAACCCAAAGGGCTCCGATTTGCGGCACTACGTGAAACTGATCAACATGCATGCCAAAAAGGGAGCGCTCGAGAAAGCCGAAGCTTGCTTCCAAGAGTTGCAAACGGCACGTCTCACTCCGGACCTCTTTGCCTACAGCGGCGTGATGAATGCACATGCCCGATGCGGCTCTGTGGTGGGTGCACAGAGGTACTTGCAGGACCGCAGCCCGAAGTGGAAATCATTCCGTTTGAGCCAGACGTAGAACGCTCGCAACGGCCTGCCAGGAGCTGTTAGACGAGTCTTTGCAGCCTGATGCGGTATGCTACGGCAGCGTTCTCAACGCATGTGCTCAAGCTCATGAATCGGAACTTGCAGAGCACTGGTTGTCGCAGATGATTAGCGTGACCCTGGCCAGGTTTCATGAGTTTGTTCCCTACCCTCAGCTGAACAGCCAACCTGTTTGGTGTTATGTCTATGCCCTACGAGCGCTGAAGGCGCGTGTGCCGCCAAACCGCGTGGCCTACAGCACTGTGATCAATGCCTTCGCACAGGAAGGGAGCGTGGAAGCGGCTGAACGATGGTTTTCAAGCATGACTGCGGATCGAGTTGTCCCCAATGAAGTGACCTTCTGCAGTATGATCAAGGCTTGCGCAAACAAGGGTGATGCCGATCATGCGATGCAGTGGCTTCAGTCGGGGTCTTGGAGCTTAAGGATTGCGAGTCTGCAGGCTCTAGATAAGCTAAGCATTGAAAATGTGCCCCAGCCCCTCTGAGGTGTTTACTTGAGTCGGGGCTAGAGGTGCCCGCCCTTGCCTTCAACTCGGCAATCAATGCTTGCGCTGGAACTGGTGATGTTGCCAGAGCAGAACAGCTCCTAACTGCTTTAAGGGAGCGCTCAGTTCAAGACACTTTGGACACTTGGATGCTGCATTGAACATTGTCTGTTAGCAGCGCTGCCCTGCATTCTCGATTTCTTTTTTGCTGCAGCTAGCGTGTAGTCTGTATAGTGTTTGCTTTCTGGTTGGCACGTTCAGGGCTTCACGGGACCAGAGTCTTAGGCCTTGAGCATGCCTGTGCAATCTAGTGCGTTGTCGAGGTGACATACAACAGCTTGGTGAAGGTGAGCGCAGCGAAGGGTGACGTGCAGTGTGCGCAGCGCTTCCTTGATGAGCTGCTGGGCAGTGGCCTCCAGCCAGATGTGCAGACCTTCAACAGCCTTCTTAGCTGTGGGGCTTATCGTGGAGACCTGCAAGCATGCGAGAGCTGGTATCAGCAGATGGAAAGTCTGGGCGTGACACCGGATACTATTACGTATAGCACCATGCGAACAGCCTGTACTCGATGTGGCAATCACATCCAAGCACAGCACTGGCTGAAGCTTATTGTCCAAAATGACGAGAGCGCCAGAGCAGTCTGGAGTGCCAGGGGTAAGACTGCGATTGATCCTTTCTCTGAGACTGGCGGTGTGATGAAGAAGGCGCTGTACCGTTTCCGATCGCAAGGGGACGAACGAATTGCAGAGCACCTGGAAAAAGCCCTAGAGTACCAGTGGGTATATGGATACCCGCACATGCCACAGCATGAGCAGCAGCTGACACATGGGGCGTACAAATACATGGCGGGAATGAAGCCATGCTGAAACCTAACATGTGTTTGTCGGCGCTCATGCTAGGGTGTTCCCACTGCCAGAGCTCTTCATCCTAGTTTGGAGCTAGTGCCTTATGCAAAGCAAACTTGCGAATTGTTTTTGGACCTGAGGCAGCCAATGACAGCGCGAGAAATCTACAAGATTGTTCCTGAAAGCCAGGCAGTAATGGACACCTTCTGTGGATCAGGAACCGTCCTGATTGAGGGGCTGGTTGCGGGAAAGGTGAGATGCATCGGTAGTGACACGTCTCCATTGGCAATTTTTGTGACCAGACACCACACGGACGCTCTGCAACTGCCATTGGAAGACTTCATGGCAAAGGCAGAGGAGCTTGCAGCTCCAGGTGCAACCAATTGGGGCAGCCTCCGTGACGGTATCCGGACGATAACCATGCCATTGCTCCGTGACGGCTTGTGGTTTGCATATGCAATTGCTTGGCGCCTGGCGCGCAGCTCATTCGGAGGCAGCAAGTTCGGCCAGAAAGATGAGGGCCAGGTTGGCGATGCCAGGTCGTACTTCCTGTCGACTACATATCGCTTTGCGGATCGGGTGCGGGATTTGCGGAGCCAATTCAAAGGCAAGCCTTCTGTGGAGCTCCACTGCTGCGACTGCCGTCAGCTGGTCCTGGAAGAAAAGGTGGATGCCATTATCACCAGCCCGCCTTATCCTGGGGTCTACAATTACCTGCAGGCTGGTCAGGGGACGAAATTTGCCACAGCTACAAGTATCTTGATGACGCTTTCAATCGCATTTCCAATCACCACACTTCAACACTTCAAGCGGCAAGCACCATCCTTCGCTCGCAATAAGGTTTGAGCTTTCCCAGTTTTGTGACAGGCTGCCGCCTATGACTGCCGGCAAGTAGCAGGTGAGGGTACAGAGGGGATGGGCTTCCTTGAGGAGGTGTGGGAGCCTGGTGAACCAGACTTGTCAGTGGAGCTAGGTGCAGCTTCCCTGCAGCCGAAATCTGTGGCTGAAGCAAGAACACGTTGGCAAAAAGAGCAGGAGGAGTGGTTAGCAGCTGCAAAAGGCAACCTTCGCCAGGGAGGAACTGTCACTATCATGGTTGGAAATGGTGATGCGTTGGAAGAGAACGCCAATGAGATTGATTGCTTACAGTCAACGCTGGCGGCTGCTTCTGCCGTTGGCTTTGATGTTGCTCGCCCCTCAGAGGTGTTTCTGTTGCTTGGCAGATGCTGCATGCCAGTTTCGCCTCAGGTGGCCACGTCCACAATTGAAAGCTGCGCAGATGCTGCGCACGAGTCCAAGGGGATGTTGCGGACAGAGCATATGATACACCTTCGCAAGCCAAGCTAGACTGTAGCGCTGGCTAGCCATTCAGCTGCGCACATTTCATGAGATGATGGAGAAGCGCAGGAAGCAAAGGGCCAAGCTCAAACATTGCCGGTGTGCCGGATTCACTGTTTTATTTGGCTGAGGGCGGCCTTTTTCAGTGATCGTGTCCAGTAGTCCTGACTACAATGGTGGTAAACTGGTCTCCTGCTTTGTTCTACCCTCAGGTTCAAGCCGTCAAGGCAGAAAGGTGCTGAGTTCTTTAGTAACAGCCATGTCAATAGCGCTGCGGCTTCCTTCACATGCTGGGCTGAGATTGCAGCAACCTGAAGGCGCCGCACCTCTGTGAGTAAGGGTAGGTTTGCAGCAACAAGAGCTGGGCATATCGTGATGGCCTCACGCGGTGGTTTGCATAGAAAATAGCCTAAAGATTATAGATTTTAAAGATGACGGAAAAAGGAACAAAGCATCTTGCTTGGTTCTCTTGCTTCTTGCAAGAAAATTCCGTCTTAGCTTTGTGAGACGATGGGGGCTTGGAGAAGGACTTGTGGCAGGGTTGCTGCGAGGGAGGCACCGTCATCTCACGCTAAGTGAGCCAGGGTTCTTACTACTGTACATGAGGTGAATAGACGAATATATATATATGTATAGATATACTGTAACATATTGTAACATATAAGAATATACAATAATATACTGTAGTATACTGTATAGGAATCGTAGGTTCATAGAAGGGGAGGCTGGGCAGTTGTTCAACGTATGTGCTGTCAGCCCGAGCGGCTTGCCTTCGTGAAATCTCTAGTTGCGCCGATACAAGACCCCAGGACTACTAAGCACAATTTGCAGCACATCGTGTTGGGGTGCGGTCTGTTTCTACGACTCGTGGCCAGCCTTCCTTGTCTGGTAAATTGGTGTATATGATAGTATATTCTCGTATATTACAGTAACAATGAGGAGCACGTGATTTGACGCATGCTTAGATTCAGCAAGGCGTTCTATGAGGGGCATGCGGTTGGCGGCTAGAGGGGCGTTTGGGTACGTCAACACGCGCCTACAACCCATTGTGAGGAAAATGTGCACAACGGTAGCAGAAGCAGGCAGTTTGGAGCTAGATGTTTTGAATTCCGAATCGCGCAGGATCCCTTAACTAATGAGTCATGTACTCTTGCAATGCCAACTGTCAATTTGCTTGCCAGCCCGGCATTTTGTGGTTCAAACGCCTAGCGGTATCCTATGGGGGTTGGTTGCAACATACGCCTTACACCGGCCGGTGTGCGAAGTGGTCTCAATTGCAGGTCTCTTTTTTGCCGACAAGGCTACAGTTTTTCTCCCAAAGCATCCTAGATTCCAATCCAGGGCGAGTGACTCCGCCGACAGCATCGGCGCCCTTGGAGTTGAGGCAGTCATCCTCTGCCTCACAGTCATGGCGAATGGGGGCGGGCTTGCCTGGCTCTAAGCATCAGGGATTCAACTTCCAATGTGTGGCCTGGGAGATGGAGAACCAAGGCTTGCTGGCATGGCATTCTTTGCCAGGCATCAGTCCAGGCGCTTGGGCGCTTGGAGTGATGTGGGCAATGTCAAACTTTAGCATGCGTGTGCTTGGCGGAGCTGGCAGGAGGACAGCGCAAGCGGTGCTTCCAGATGGAACCAACGAAGAGGGAGAGGTCCGGCAACATGGACATGTGCTTGCAGCTGCGGCGCCGCATGCTAGTTTCAAGTTGGTACCATAAGGATGTTGCTCCAATCAACATCGAGCTCGAGGATCTGAAGAAGGTTACTCTGCATCTCGGACAGTAAGACTAGCAGCTCCATGCGACTGAGGGCTCAAGATGGCTCAAGCTCATGACTAATACTGAGGTACCAGTCAGAGTACTCTCCTCCCTGCGTGAAGCTGAGGACGGGACCTTAAGCTAGAAGAGCCAGCTAGGGATTGATTTGCAGAAACCTGGAGCCGCACACGTCAGGACTATGTTCAAGCACTACAACTTGCCATTCCGAACAGTCAATGGAAAACATCCAACTTCAGCATCTCGACAGAAAAAGAGAGCGGCTGGGTGAGAGCCAGAAACTTATTAGGTGCATGCTTGGGCATGTCTCCAGGACTACAAGAAGATCCCGGTTCTAGAGATGAATGATCGTGCTTTGTCTGCCTTGACTTCAATTCATGTTCATGCAGTGGCTGTTGTCTTGGTTAAGCTTGAAACATGATGAGGCCAAATCAATGACTCCCACATCATCATGAAGAGGATAGTCGCGTGGCTCACGGGTGAAGAGATGACCAGCGAGGAGGTGATGTGGGAGAAGCGCATTACCTACGTAGCTGGTTGCAAATTATGAGAAACTTTCGACTATGCCTTGACATGACACCCGTTTGCTTCACCTATGTCTCGGGCACTGCCTTTGAGAGCCGCTGCTCGAGTGTATGCCACAATGAGGAGTTCCAGCCAGCATTTGAAGTAGAGCTGGTGGGCAACGATCGGGACCTAGCGAGACTTGTCTGAAGCATGTAGGAATGGCCACGGAGCTACCTCAAGAGAAACGGCAGCAAACATGAGGCTCCTTTGGACCCGTGCCACTGGGTACATCGGTGGATGGCAGCGAGGATATATGCATGATCGTGTGGAACTAACGTGTGCATTTATATGCATATTATATGAATGTATACATGTGTGTGTATGTGTAGATGTCTTCCCATACATTTTGTGGATGGAGTCGGAAGTTGCAACGGAAGGACTTCTTGGAATCCTGTCGCCGCTGCTGAAGTTTGCCATCGAAGCCTTGTTCAGATCCCGCTACTCCAACATGGAGCTCCCAAGCAGCCTGTCCTGAGCTATGAAGCTATGAGATGTGCCTACCCTCCCCAAAACTAGCATGCAACCCCACGTAGCGCTCTTTCCAAGACTCCGAGGCCTGTTCTTGAGATTTTAAGCTTCATGTTCGTTCTGGGGAGGGTACTTCTGCACGTTGCTGTCCAATTCCATCAGTCAGTCGTGATCTGAGGCTCCAAGTTTGGTGCCAGCTTCCGTGCAGCCCTGAAAGATCAGCCATTCTTCCATGGCGAGGAGCCAGGCCCCATTGATCTCAGCTTGTACGGAATCTCAGATGCATTCAAACAGTTGTGCTGTCTGAGCCCGTTCCTTCAGCTGCATACCTCTAGTTGCACTTACAAAGCCTATTGTCGCAGTGGCGGTGGTAGTAAGCAGTAGCAGTAGCAATAGCAGCAGTAGTAGCAGCAGTAGCAGCAGCAGGAGTAGGAGGAGTAGTAGTAGTAGTAGTAGTAGTAGTCGTAGTCGTAGTCGTAGTCGTAGTCGTAGTCGTAGTAGTCGTCGTCGTCGTCGTAGTAGCAGTAGTAGTAGTCGTCGTCGTAGTAGTAGCAGTAGTAGTAGTAGCAGCAGCAGCAGCAGTAGTAGCAGCAGCAGCAGCAGCAGCAGCTGGCAGCAGTAGTAGCAGTAGTAGCAGTAGTAGCAGTAGGTAGCAGCCACAGCAATAGCAGCAGTGGCAGGAGAAGGAGTAGTGGTGGAGACGTGTAGTGGTAGTGGTAGTGGTAGTGGTAGTGGTGGCATTCGCACGAGTAGGAGTTATCGTGGTGAAATTTGAGGTGCACTGACAACAGAATCGCAAGGCCGTACAGAGCCCTTAGGCATACGAAGTCTAGTTAATGTTTTGGCATTGCGTTGTCACAGGGCATCCTCTCATGTTTCAGCTTGCTTGCTTCACAAGCTTTATGTGCAGATGCGCTGGCCTCAGAACACAGCCCCGGAGTAGACGGAAGAGGAAGAGTAGGGGTAGGAGTAGGAGGAGGAGGAGCAGTTGAAGCAGCTTGTTGACAGAGGTAGGAGTATGAAGGAGGAGTAGGAGAGGTGGGAGCAGTAGTTTGCATCAGGGTTGCAATGTAGTAGCAGCAGTGGTAGCAGTTTGTAGTACTTGTACTTGTAGTTGTAGTTGCAGTGGTCGTGCTAGCAGCAGTAGTGGCGAGCAGTAGCAGTACATGGGCGTCAACGTCATGATTGCGGAAGTGATTGTCAGCATCGTGTTGCTGGTGGCGGTGCTGGTGCACAAATTCAGTAAACGCGTAAAAAGCCGCAAGGCAACATCAGAAAAACAAAAAAAAACACGCATCTGGATTGGATGGAGCTTTTTTGTGTTCAGGGCCTCTGGACGCTATATCATCTAGAGCTCTTGTCTCACCTCCACGTTCTATTTACAGGTTGTGAGGATTCACATGGCCGAGTTCGAGAAGGGTAGTTATTGCCACCTTGCATCCGGTGCAAAATTGTGGCCACCGAAGTCATGGTTCACACAAGCAACGGCTGGAGGATGTTGGAGGAGTAGCCCGCAGTGGTCGTAGAATCCTCCTTGTGAACATAATACGGCTGATAGCATTGTTGGTCCAATTCCACAACCAGTAACAGCATCTGCTCGGCAGTGATGCATCCAGTGCTGGCTCCATGTCATCTTCCCGGACCTGGCTAAGGAACATATGTGGCATTTGCAGAGTGCAGCCTGCCTTTTTGGATGGCCATCGACATGCATGGGTATTTCTTGAAATTGTTGTTGCCTGCTTGGGGATCGGAATGGAGATGATCCTGGTCTTTCGAGGTATGAGCACTGTTGGAAACATGCGCGTGCAGCATAATGTAGCAACTTTCGACTTACGTTGTCCTATCGATTCCAAGGCAAGACAGCAGCGCGCTTCCTGCAAGATAGCGGCTTGGAGGTGCAAGAGATATGCTAATGTGGAGACTGTAGCAGGTGAGGCAAGCCCAAAAGCAACCATCATATTAACATGGAACCTGCTTGGCAGGAGTGGCATGACCGAATGACGAAGCTTCAGATCGACTCCGTTTCGACGCTGCGCTGCGTGTAATGTTCTAGCTGTGCTTTGTGCTGGCTGCCTAACGCGGACTAGGGTGATGCATCCAAGGAAGCCGAAGGTCTATTCAATGCAATAGGTGTGATGGCAACGTCTCTCCCGTGCAACGTAGTATGATGTGGTCCTGAAGTTGCCCAAGCAGGGCAAGGGAACACCATCGGCGGGCCATGATTTTCTGGCCCAGCCCCTGTACAAACCCAGAATGGGAAACCTCCAATTTTCGTTGAGCAAATACCGATTAGCTGTGAAGAAAAGCCTCTGCAACATCATGAGTGTGGAATGAATAGATGCACACGGGCGATTGGCAAAATGCAACACCTCAGCCGATAGTCATCAGGCGATCTTGTGCAAACACTCTGTGCAATGAATGGTTCGAAGACTCCGAACTTTGGCAAAAAGCTCTTAAAAACGAAGAGGCAACCCTACTTTGTTTTTAGATCAGATTAAGACTTGGGTTTCTGCCGATGTCTCATATGTTGTCTCCGCCCTGCGCATGCGTTTTGAGCCACTTCTCGCCCTGCTTGCTCAGCCAGGACACTCGCCCAGAGTTAGGATGATGGCATCAACCAAGTTGCAACCAGCGGGCTTATGCAGCAAACGGTTGTAGCAGCTTCCGATACACAAAAGACTGCAATCCTTCCAGCGTTCGCATGTGCACTGGGCTGTCCTCATGGCACAGAAGAGTCAAAGCCTCATGGAGCTGTTGAACAAGCTTGAGAGCGGAGACCTTGATGAGGCAGATCTTGCACCTATATGTGGGGGCTATATAGGGAAATTATCCCTTACTAATGGAGACTCAAATGGACAATCGAAATAGAAACTATGGAAACCGGATTTTCTTGCACAGTCTGCTCCCATGCCAGGTGCCATCACTCACCCAGCTTGTTGTAACTCTGCAAGACAGATCGGGACCTTTTTGTGGCAGACCTGCATGGAGGCTGCCAAATACCCAAAATGAAAGACCTTTGAACCCTACGTTCTGGAGCGATTGTGGGGCACAAGCAGTGCTCATTACCCAGTGAGCTGTGGCAGGCAGTTCTTGCAATACAATCCAGAAGCCGAGACCTTGCCATGTGGCTGCAGTTAGGGGGCACATGCGGTGCAGTAACAGTTTGGAAGTCCCGCAAGCTTCAGTTGCCAAGGTGTGGAAGCAGCTGCCAGACAGGACAGGGCTTACCAAACCAGACACGGCCAGTTACTGTATTCGCTGTTACACGACAGGTGCCGTCATTTTTGTTAGTGTGGGCACTTTATAGAGTCAGGATTGTTCTTCTCCGACATGGTCAAAGCGAAGGAAATGTGGACCAGTTATTGTACACCAGCAAGGGTGATGCAAGGCTCGAGCTGACGAAGAAGGGAATTCGCCAGGTGGGATCGGGCGCGGGTGGGACGACTGAGCTTTTTGTTGAGACAGCCTACTGAGTGACATGTATGGATCAAGTGAAGCTCTTGCTTCACAGAATATGCCACGGCAGGCAATGGACGCGGGCAAGCGTTTGAGCAAGATCATGCCTGAAGGTGGCAAAATCATTGTTTGCACCTCGCCTTTCGAGAGGCCGCAGACATGTGAGGATGAAGTTGAAGCTTTGAGTTCTTTGATCACTCATCATTGTTCGCTAATTGAGTTGATCATGGTCAAGGGCACTATACGGCATGCGGCCGAACTGCTAACGTTGATCATTCTGTTTTGCCACCGCCCCTCTTCCTTCTCACAGCCAACAGGCTGCATAGCTTCTCACCACTAAGCAGGGAGAACAGCGACCATGATGGTGGTGATGCACAAGATGATGAATGGTCTCATCGAAGCGTTGCCGTCATGGTGCTGTAGAATTTTGTTCGTCAGTATATCTTGTATCCTTTGTAGTATCAATCCTGCTAGCTTTGGCATTGTCCTTGTGCAGGACAACGCAAACGCTTCTCGGGCTGTACGGCGGCGGCTTAAACCAGGACATTGCAGAGGGCAGTCAGAAGCATCATTGCTAACGATGACAGTGGTACTGGTTGCCTTGGTCCTCGACTCTAAGTGGCCTTGAAAACCGGACTGCTGAAAAGCTCGGGATGGACCTCGGGTTTTGCGTTTCGTATTTCTGGAGCAAAAAGGAATTGAAATGTGAAATCTCTGTTGCAAGTGGCCCGTCAGAGCATGCAATGGAGCATCCGCAACTGAAGGAGAATGTGGAGTGTGTGCACGTGGACCCCCAGATCCGGGAGCAGGAGTTTGGAAATTTCCAGGATCCTGGTCTGACGTCCAAGGCAGGACATGCACCTGGAATTCAGAGCCCGATCCAAATGTCAGCCTGGACAGTCAGGTACGGGCTGAGGAGCAGAGGGTGGGACGATTTTACTACAGGCCCCTCCACTTTGTTGCTTCAACTTGTGTTGCAAGCAGACCACTTCTGGTAGCGAAGGCGCCCGAACGCAGAAAGTTCAGCCGATGTTTTCGACAGAGTCACACAGTTTTGGGACAAGCTGTTTGAGGACAATGGCAGAGGCTTGCTGACAGAGGGCGGCGTCAAGTATGACATGTGCCTTATGGTTACCCACGGCCTGACCATTCGATTGATGCTCATGTGCTTGTTCAAATGGTCAGTGGAAACTTTTGCATCGGTGTGGAATTTGGGAAACTGTGAGCACATCACTCTCAAGAAGAACGCCCATGAGCACAAATACGAGCTTCGTGGCCGTGTTTGGGGTATATAGGTTTTATACTTGGTTCTATGATTCTATGAGCTATAGTCTAAACTCTTTAAATGGGGTTATAGAGGGGATTATGTGGGGGAGGATTATGGGCGTTATTCAGGGGGGATACTAGGAGTTGAGACTATAGTTCAAATAGGGATATTATCCCAATAGCGGACAATCAACTGGAAAAGAACATGGAGAATGAAAGTGAAACTTGTGTTTGGGCCACTTGTGGGGGGACCTTGGTGATGGTCTCGTGAGTTCCTGCTGGACTATACCATACTTGACCATACATTCGATTCAGATTCTGAGAGCTTGCGTTTACACAATCTTGCAGAGCTCAGGAATAATTCATTTTTTGGGGAGTTTAATATCAGGGGAAGCGATCATTCCTGGAGCCCAGGATTTGCATCGAAGAGTCCTATCCACCCCGCATGCCCTGGGCAACTCGGGAAGCCTGGATCGTTTTTGCTCACATAAAGGCTCCGCAGGCAGGAAGTGGAGCTCAGTTGAGCTATCGTCTAGAATCTTTAAATGGGGCTATATAGGGGATTATATGGGAGACTAGGGTAACACTAGGAGTTCAGACTATAGCTCAATTGTTGGGAGCTCCTTGTTGGTGAGTGACTTGGAGAAGAATTGAGAGCCATCAGGAGATGGTCGAGAGGCTTGCTGCGCTGAAAGAGGCTCAGAAGGCTTTGATGGACGAAGCGTGCCGAGAGGAAGCTCTGAGAATCGACAAAGCCATAGACTCCATGGAGAACAAGATACTCAGAGAGCGCTCTGAGCCATATACTGTCATCAATTACCTGGCGATACCCCAGCCTCGAACGATGCAGATCGACGGGGTGCTATCTAGACTGGTGCCTGGACATGGCCATGCTGGCAAGACGCCAGAGGCAAGGGCTCGACAGTAGGCGTGCTAACAAAAGCTACCGCCCACCTTCTGCATGAGCCGTCATGCTTGACACGTAGATCCTGCCGTTCTGAGGAACTCGATAGAGATGTACTAGGTCGACATCAGATTCAATGGCAGTGGGGACGGGACATCTGTCGGACTGGTAGGAAGCATATGAAAATCATATGAAATCATATAAACATGAGAAAATGTGAGGCAGATACAGGGCAATGTGAGAGTTGAGGCCCTATTCTAAACTAACCCTCTTCGCACAGGGGCGGCCTATGGAAGTGCCATGGCTGTTTGTGCTGATTGTCTCGCACCGCTGCTGTCTGTTCGGAAGGCTTTGGAAAAACTAGTCGCAGCACCAGACGAGACTGACATCGAGTTCATCGATTGGTGGGGCGACAACTTGAGTCCCTCACCTGTTTCAGATTGGGAATGAAGGAAGCGAGCAGCAGACTTGAGTTGCCAGCAGGCATTGCATGTGCAGCTTTCCGCGCTCGCTCAGGCTACCAAGGCAAAATGTTGCGGCTGAACAGAACGGCGACGATCCACGCAACTCGTTCTTCGCGAAGCCAGAGTAGAAATCACAGCCGCAGCCCAACGGAGGCCACTGAGACTGATGATCCGGACGACTTGTGATCGGAAAAAGGAATTGCATGTGTGCTCACATGTGTCTCTGCTTGGTTCGGCAGTGGCTACCGCGCCCTCGTAGCGAAAGGAGTCGCGAGTCGCGAGAAGCAAGATTGGCTTGGTCAATCTACTCGGGCTGCATGATTTGACGCACGGCTGATGCAGGGCATCGCAAATCAGAAGCGCATGAGGACATTGCACAGATTAGCTACTCATGGATAATCATAATTAATCCGTTTGGAGTACCCGTGCTAGGCTGGGGGCCCACAGCCTATATCCGGAGGGCTGAAAGTGTAATCGACAAGCTGAGAGCCCTTGTTCCGAAGATGCCATGGCAGAGAAGGATTTCCGTGGGGCAGCTGCAGATGCCGCAGCTGCAGCGGCCAAAGTGCCGCCGCCACCCCTCCCGCTGCCACCGAACCTCACCGTGGCGCAGCTCCCAAAGCTCCTCCGTCCCACGGGGAAGCGACGCTTCCAGGCAGCTCGAGGCGAGGAAAGCGGCGGATTTTTTGCTTCAAATTCGGAGGGTGACCTGCCTGCATTTCTCCAAGGACCTGGGTCTGGAGTGCCCAGCACCGCGGAGGGGACAAGCGACGCAGCCGGGCCAGCCAGCGCAGCCGAGATAGTCAGCGAAGCTACGGAGGTAGCAAGGGTGTTGAACCCTGGAACGCAGCTGCCCGAAGCTGATGTTCGGAACGTCGCCGCCGAGCGGCCCATGCCAGGCTCACTGCTCAAGGCATGTCAGCCTGGTCTTGCCGGAGCTGCCCTGCTCAGGAGGAAGCTCGTCTGAAGGCCGCGCATGCGAAGGAATGGTTCAAGGCAAGACACACGTAGACATGAGTAAGCAGGCTGCTGAATTCTCCAGGTGACGATAGCTCTGGAGATGGACCGGGACAGGAGTCCTTGGAGCTTCTACCATCTCAACAAACATCTGGGAGTCTGCTCTCCAGTTGCCCGAAAGAGGCAGAGACTGTAGCACATGTCATGTCTCCAGCATGCAATATGCAACTCAACTTCTCAGAAGGACCTGGTCAGCAAACCTCCGAGCTCCGAGCAAAGTCTGGCTCCACAAGCTGGCTGCAGCCAAAGCGCGGCAGCCAGACAGCAAAGGGGGCAGGAAGGAAGGAAAGAGGGAAGGAGGGAAGTATTATGGATAGGGTTTTTACACACATCTTACCCTGGTGGTCCACATTTTGATGACTGCTACTAACACGATTAGTATGTTTGTTTGCATCGTTCCGACTGTTATTAAAACGCTGCTAGCAGTACTACTGTTACCATGAAGAGTGCTGCTATGGCCGTGATAAGTATTGCCTCTTTTTCATTTCCAGATCAATCACATTGCAACAAAGCTCGTGCTCTTATCTTCGTGTAGGTTTTGAAAATGGGGGTTGCGCGCCCCAGGCCCCCTCACTCCCCCACTGTTTTTCTTCTTCACACGTGCGCGCAAGCATCCGTAGAAAGAGCCTCTGCATGTGAGGTTATGCCGTGCTCTCAACACTTGTACGGTTACAGTGGTTCCTGTTGTCATTGTTTTTTGTGTCATCATTACCACTGTCTATTTCCTGAAAGCGCATATTTTAGTTTGGTGAGCGCTTTGATTCCAGAGCAGAATCAATCCGGGCAAGTGTAATTACTAACAAGTGAGACCAATGTAAAACCACAACCGCTTACAAAGCAACCAATATGAAACTGAGTAAGCTTGGCATGAACCATCAATATGACAAATCAATACAACCATTCATAAGCACACCTCTTCATCAAACTTGTCATCTTTTCTGTCTTCTGTTTTGGTTCTTGTTACTTTTTGTCATCGTTTATCTTTTGCGCTGAAGCTTTTTTTTGCTTTCATACTTTCAGAACACAGTCATTCTTCCTGCATTGTCATATTCTTCCATGAATATCAGTATTTGTCATCTTTTCATTTGGGTCAAATTCCATGATTGTTCATCATGTTTGATCAGTGTGCATGATTTTGTTATGTTGTCTTATGATCTTCATCATTTGCCTCAGTTTTCATCATTTATCCTGATTTCTATTGTTTTGCATGATTTTTAGTTTCATCACATATCATCATCATGCTTGCTGATTTTCATCATTTCAAGCATTTTCCGGCTTTTCACCATTATCTGACAATTGCCACCTTTTTTTATGACATTTCTGCATTCTCATTATGTTTCATCATGAAAATGCACATTTCATTCTTTTTCCACCACTTTGTGGCAAATTTCGCAATTCGTTATGATTTCTCAACATTTTCATTATTTAGATCGTGTTCTGGCTTGTAGGCAAGATTTTACTACTGTCGCAATTTTTCCTTTTTTTGAAAAGCATGTCTCATCATTTGTCACAGGCGTCATCATGCTTCATCACTTGTCCTTCATAATGTGCCTCATCTGTCGTCATCTTTCATCATGCTGCATGCTGTTAGGAGGGCAGTACCTAAAGGCTCTGAACATCCTCATGTTTAACTTGTTTCATCCCTACTTTGTGTCGTTGTTATTAATATTATTCTTGCTATGACTCTGACTAGTGGCATCAGTGCTAATAACTAGTAGATTACTTGACCCGACTGCTGAGCAGGGACCTCGGTGTACTGGTCCATATCTAATATTGTATTACCTTGCAATCAGTACATTAGTCTTGATCTTTCAGTTGGTATTAGTGTTGATATGTGCATTATTTTGTATTACGATAATTACGCTTACGCTTACACCTCTTCTTCTATTACTCCCACTGATACCACCACCACCACCGCCGCCACCGCCGCCGCCGCCACCGCTGCTGCTACTGCCTGCTGCTACTGCCTGCAGCTGCTGCTGCTGCTGCTGCTGCTGCGCTGCTGCCGCCGCCGCCTGCACTAACTACAACAACAATTATTACTACCACGACGACGACGACGACTACTACTACTGCTACTGCTACTACTACTACTACTACTACTACTACTACCAGAACGGCATCTCAAGATTTTTGTTGATCCTTGGTCTTGTCCTCGTGTCTACTAAATTTAGCACAGAGCCTTTTTTGATGCTTAGATTTTTTTCGGCACGGATTTGTCATCCCTCATCCTGTCCTTTCAGGTATTGCCAGTTCTTCATCTCCTTGATGCATCTACGCTGGACAAACCCGATGGGGACACGGCGAGCAAGGCTTTGGGCCAGGTTTTGCATCTGCTGAGCCTGCTGCGGCAATGGGTTGGGAGGCAAAGCCTGACAACCAGCTGGCCGCGCTTCAGCTGCCATTGACAATTTGCGTCTCCAAAGTATGGAGGTTGAACATGCTTGAAGTAGAGTGATACTGGCAGTTGAGCTCAAGAAAGTCTCTGGTAATTGCTGACTAAGCTTTCCATCCAAACCACTACCTCTGAGGCAGAAGTGTCTCACATCCTCAGCGACGTTGGAGCACTCTCTTCAGAGTGTGACAGGCTCATCTACACAGAATGATCTAGTGGTCTCCTTGGAGCAAGATGGCTTTTCTGGCAGGCTCTTTAAGGAGACCTGCCCATCAGGACGTGCTCGTGCAGCTAAAGTCTGAGGTAGCTTCTTGTTTGCATGGTTCTGCTGTGCAAAGTCTGCAAGCAGGAGATACAACCTTCATGCGTGCAGAAAGGCTGCACAAGCTTACGCTGTGACCCTGGCACCTAAACAACCGGCTGGAGCTCTTCCTTTTTTTGGGGTTTCTCCAATGCCCAAGGCAAAGGCTCATTGACTGGTTTGGCTGCACATCCCCGGACACGTTGGACAGAATTGGTCATGTCTACATGGCTCCTTGGCAGCTGTATGGGACATGCAGGCGATGTAAATGTCGGCCAACTTCAGCTGAGGCCGCCACATCTGGAAGACATGAGCAAGGATGGGAAGCAGCGTGTTAGATGCTTGGTCTACTCGCTTTGAAAGGGCTGAGAGCAGGCCTGGCTCAGCTGGAGTTCCGCGGATACGTTGCGGCGGCACCGGCCCTCTGCATTTTCTCTACCGGCGAACGCAGTGGCCCAGCGAAGAGCCACCCGAGCTGAGGTACTGACACAAGTCCTTCGAGACTTGGAATTAAGAATTGTCCCAAAGGAGGCTGGAAAGGATCACAAGGAGATGGAGTTCTCTACAGAGCAAGAAGACGGGAGTCTTCGGCAGGAGCATGCTCTGGATGAGGAGGACGCTGCTGCCGCCGCTGATGAAGAATCCGACGGTGCGGAGCCTAGGGCCTTCAACTTGAAAACCCTAAACAGTAGTTTCCATGTTCACTATGATCCCTAGATAGGCCATTGTAGTAGTTATATATATATATGTACATATATATATATATATGATGGGCACTGAAGGGGCGCTCCAGCACTCAAGATGTCTCAAGGCTCCGGCATGATGGAGGCTCTACAAGGCCTTCTGGAATGGCTGTGTGTTGTCTTTGGGGCAGCTCCGTTATCTCCGTTTTTGCCAGTTTAACGTGTTGAGCGTCATGAATCTGAAATGTTCTGCATCTTGTGGACCAGGCTGGCTACAGCAGCTGACGTCATCATTTGCATAGCTGCATTCCAGACCGCTTGTTTCATCTGAGTCGAGGCCAAAAGGCAGCAATGCCCTCAAGTGACGGCCTGTGCACCAATGACCATTTGCAGGATAATTCAACGGGAAGACTTGCAATTTGTGTTCAAGAGGTTCGTGAGCGTAGCAGTAGCAAGTGGGTGGTAACCCGGACAAAGATATCCGTGAACCCACGCGCTTGCGCTGAGCATGGCTCTTCTGAGACGCCGCTGCCCTGCGGCACTCTATCACTTGCGCAAGCTTTCTCCTTCATTGGCTGCATGCCTCCAAGGCCGGAGCTGGCACGGTGCAGCCTTCATAGCTGCTGTTTCGATGGCCGCTTGTTGCCAGCTCTCTTCCGGAAGGCCAGCGCTTTGTCGGAGGTCAGCTTACGCGTTCGCCTGGGCAACACTGTCTGTGGTGTTGGCATGTGTTTCGTAAGGTTAGCTGGGTTTGCTGGACCCGGGCGAGCGCGATCGCAGCATCGAGAGGCGGTGTGCTGACAGGTGCTCGTAGGGATTGCCAAAGGACGGGGATCTTAAGGTGAGCCAGCAGAAGCTGTCTCGCGCAGCCGGTGGACTGGAATTTTTGCGGGAGCCGCTCGAGGCAGTCGAGCCATGTTTCCATATTGCGTGATGCATCCCATGCCCAGGCCTATGCCGCGGCCCGCGTTGCGGACTCACCCTTCTTGGCAGAGGCATGGTCTTTTTCTGGGACATCTGGGATCATAGCAAACGCGGCTGCATTTTTGGTGCAGGCTCCAGAGGCAGCTCTCCATTGGGGCCATGCTGCTGCCATGGCATCTCTGTCGCAGAGGTCGCATCAGCAAATGCCATGTTTTCTTTGGCTTGCAGCCACTAGGATCAGTGGAGCTTGCGTTCAATCTGTGCATGCCTTTTTTGAAGTGCACAGATGAAGCCACAAGCCAATGCTAAGGCATCAGTGTACCCTCAACTGGCCTTTGCAGCCTTCCTTGGCTGGAAACTCAGTCGGTGAAGCCTGCTTCGCAACATTGCATGGCAGTGACGTCACAGCACGGAATCGTTCCCTCACACCGAGGCTGGCAGATTCGGTTCGGCAAGGGTGAGGACACCAACATGGAGGTTTGCACATCGCAGCCTTGCAGCGGTTTTGTGTGAGGACACCACCCCACTCTCGCTGGGCATTGCGTCCAAAACGCTGCATCCAGTGCTGAGCCTTGCAGCGTTCGCCTTCTTCTTGATCGGAGGACGGCGCAGACCAGCTAATTAAACCATGTCTTGCTGCGCTCCATCTGTTGGGTCTTGATAGAATATGTCTAGATCTTCTAGGACAGGGTGGCCTAGTCCTGCTGACGGTCGGCTTCCTGAACACTTTGCCGTGATATCCTATAGTTTTTTCCCTGTCTGCTCGGGTTCTATAAGGCGCAGAAGCAAACCATCCTTGAGTCGGCCCACGCCATCACGGCACTGCTGGGTGAAGGGCTCAGAAGCTACGAGCTTTTCTCATAGCTGTTGGGCTTGCAGTTCCGAGGCCTGGGTTTCCTGGCCCTGCAAGCAATCCTACCGCTGACCTTCCAAAGCGGAGCCCAAGTCCGCGCGGCACACGCTTACTTAGGCAAACTGCCTCCTTCTGGATTTGGCCAGGTCGTTTGAGTAATTCCACTGTCTGCAGGCAGCGCCATTGTGCTCCTGATGATTGTCCACGCTGGCTTCGGTATTTCCTTGGGACTGAGTTTCTGATATTGCTGACAAGATGGTGCCTTCGGAAAAGGGATTCGTTCACAAAGGTCCGCAGTTGTGACAGGCGCTTTCCGCGTTTGTACTTGCATAGGCATTTTAGTGGTGGCAACATTTCAGCTGACAATGTGCATGCTGCATGGGCTTCAGCTGGCTTGAAGTAGAGCTGGCTGCGTTGTGGCCTTCCCGAGTCCAGACCTGAGACTGGCATTTTTGGAAGGGCTGGCACCCTGCATGCTTCTCTAAGAGCTGCGCAGCAGGATAACCTTGTGCATTCGATCCAGGCATGGCGGGCAAGGCTCTTGCCAGCGGGCTTTGTGACGCTGCCGCTACTGTCTCACCTTATGAGGCAGCGTATGCTTTCAGAGTTTGTATCGAGCATTGTTAGCCATTCATTGAAGGATGTCAGGGGATACTTGCAACAGACAGTGCAACCTGGCAGCAGCCATTGTGTGTGTTTGTGTGTGTTGCAGACTTGCTCGCCCAAGTGCCTGTCATTTTGTTATTGCGGATGCTCACCCTGCAGGCTTCCTGCCCTTGGTCCAGCCATAGAAGAGCTCCTGCATCTTGATGGCAATTCAGCATTATGCCCTTCTTCTCCACGCCCGCTTCCGCTTGCTTATTCCAAGGCATCAGGTCCACTCATCTGGTGAACTGCAGCGAGTGCTGCGCAAGGAGACAGAGGCTGAGAGGAAGATCATCCGCAAGCCATCCGAGACACACGTGGAGGCGGCATTGCGAAACGAGCACGGAAAGCTTCGTCAAGAGCGGTTTTGTCATGCAGCTTTGTGGTCAGGACCCGCCTGAAAAGAAGCACAGTTCATCAGGAAGCAGGTGCGCACATTTCGTCACATTCATGTCACATTCCAAACCTGCTGTTGCCAGCCTGGGTACATATCGTTGCAACCCTGAAGGAAGCCATCGCTCACAGCTGGCGCTTCAGCAGCAGTTGGAGACGTGCGGAGTTCCAGCAAAATAAGCAGGAGTAGAGCACGTTCCGTTGTTGAAAGCATTTCGGGACTTGGCTATTGAAGGAAGACTTTACGTGATTGAACACTTGACAAGTTTAAGGTGAAGGCAGCCAGATTCTGCGCCGATTCAGCAACGCGTCTGAGATGGCAGAGAAGGCTGCGCAACTTCTTGCGGGTGAGCCCAAACACTTCGGGCAGCCCTCGGGAAACTCATTTGACGTACCCCACAAACCTGCACAACCCGTACAATCCCTGCACAACAATTCTAGTTCAGGGTTGGCAGCTATCTTTTTTACATTTCGCTCTCCATGCACAGGTCCCGCCACCGCCTCCGGAAGCTACAGAGGAAGATCGATTCGATCCTTTGGCTGCTTGAGCTGCGCTGGCGGGTGGAAGTCTGACAAAATGAGCAAGATGGGGTCTGTCACTCGCAGTCAGAAAGATGCAGCCATTTTGAGGTATGGCTGTCCGACTGCCTGAAGCAATCGGCTTCTTGGCAAAGGCTCTGCTGAACCTTTTCACACAAAATAGGCTTGGTCTATTTGAGGCTACCGGAGATGCAAGCTTCAGGGACCAGATCCGTGAGCGAGTTATCCAACAAATCAAGGCTGCAGAAGCAGAGCCCCCAGCATGTGTGGCACCTGTGCACCCCGGAGCTCTTGAGCCCATTTCGTAGAGGCAGCAGAGGAAGCCGAGCGCGCTCGGGCTGAAGCCGAAGCAGCAGCTGCTCGGGTGGCTTGCCAGCAAGTTGTCTTGAAAATGCTGTTGCAGATGGCTTCTTTTGGCTTGTCCCCCGCATGGAGCAGCCTTATTTACGAATGAAAGTACACTTGCCCGCAGCTTTGTGCACGGTGTAACAACTCCTGGAGCCAGTGGGGGAATGGTACGCAGAGTATGGGAAAACCAGTTGCTCACGCAACAGCAGGCAGGAACAGTTTTCAAGGTCATGTGCTCAAACAGTATGAAATGCTTGCGCAGGCAAGCACAAGCCTACCCTGGTCCAGATGCTAAGGTCGATGATGGGGAGATTACCACGATCGCGGAGGGTGCTTCGGAGAGCGGGAATTGATGTCGCTACCTGGCGGGAAACTCCTGAGCCTGTGCGCGAGAAGTTGCCGTTGGCAGTTGGTCCCTTCAACTGCTGCATCGGCATGCATGGTTTCACCACTGGGCGCGACAGCCTGCGCCTAGTATGAAAATGCACCCCGCAGCTCACCCATGGCATGGACTTCAAGTACTCGTGTGGTGAGCAAGCCTAGATTCACGTTGCGATCGTGTTGTCCAGGCTCAAAGACTCAGAGCCTTAGCGTGAGAGAGTTCAGTGGCCTAGCAGCAGCTAGCAACAAGTGGAGATCGACACAACCATGCGTCCAAAGTGTTGTTCGTGGCCGTCTGGGGCATCTAGCTGACCCTGCCATGAGCAATGACGACTTCGATTTGTACGGCAGAGCCCTCGGACTTTGTTGTTCAGATGTCAGGCCTAGAGTTAGACCCTGCATGCAAACCTCGCCCTGTTCTTGATTCTGCCATGTGCAGCATGAACCAGTGCGTTTCATGTTGCCATGCTGCAGAGACCGCATTTGAACCAGAGCCAGCATCATGGGTCACGTTCCTGTCATCTCAGATGATCTGCAGCTGAAGCCCGTGGATTCGAAACCAGCTCCCCCGCTGCTGTCTCGGTTGCAGGGTTCAATAGCACTTGCGCAAGGAGTTGTATGGGGGTACAGGAAGCATGTGTGTCAGACCTAATTAAATTACGGTTTGGGCCTTCGGTGATCAACATTTGGTATTTGTGATAGATGGGCCAAATGAGCAGAGAGCTTCAGGGATGCATGTGCTTGAAACATGCAAAGACCGCGTCTACCTTACAGCGGTCAGTCTCTTCAGTACCTTCAGTTCATCCACAGACCAATCTGGGAGCGTTGATCGGACCAGGTAACTCCTGTGAGTCTGGGACTGGCACAGGTAGAGCTGGGAGTGTTTGTACGGTCACCCTATAGGTCAAGCAGTTCAATGTTTTTTGTGTGTGAGTTGTTTAAGGACGCCCCCTTGGAGAAAGCCGGGTCAAGTTGACGCGGCCTCGGCTTTTGCAGCCAGCAGCAGTGGCATCTCCATGGTGCTTTCTATCAGAGTGGCACCTGGTCAAAAGGTTCTGAAGACAAGCTTGGATCTCAGTAGGGGTGCCCTCATGCTGACCACAGACTTTGGCAGAGAGAGTCAGAGATCCACAACAGAATTGCGGGACAGTGATCATCTGGCTGGTGGGATGCCTTCAGGTCAAAAGCCAAAGACAGGTGCCCAGGCTTTGCTAGAGCTGGCCGCTGAGTCCCTGAGGACTGATGCTCTGATGTTCTGTCCTATGACGCTTGCTTTCAGCTTGCTTACCTAGGCTTCTGCGTGAGGAACTTACCTGTGGCACAAGCACTGTGCCAGAGCGTTTCTCTATTTGCCGGAGTTGACATTGGGGCTGCATGGGAGGTGCTGGCGCAGAGGACTTTTCAGATGCAGAGGAGGAACAGCCAGTGCGTGAGGCTGAAGCAGGCAGGCCACAAGAAACGTGCAGCACTGCAGAGCCTCCAGCAAATCCTTTGCAGAGGTGCCAAGCCAGACGGTCTCCAAGAGCTTGGTTTCCTTGAGGCAGTGCTGCTTCGCCAGGGAGTGGAAATTGGTGGCCGCTTGACAGATGAGGTTGGCGATGACTCCCTGGACGCAGTGGAAGCGCCTCTGAAAAGACAGCGCGTCGAGGCGCCTGCCGCATTTCAGCGTAGGCTATTTTGACACGGGTTGCGTTTATGCCGGCACTGCTTCAACACAACACAGGCCATGTAGGCGCTTGGGGCTGGCTAGTGCGACGGAGCAAAGCACGAAAGACGGGACTTAGTAGTTGGGTCAGGACTTCTTTGGAGTTCTGAAGGTTCAACGAACCTGTTGTTCAACAACATGTTTGACATGTTTGCCGAACGTGATACAGCATGCCTTGCCGTCATCATGGGTTCGCCTGTCGTTTTGCCAGGTGCAGCAGCCAGGCAAGTGCAACAGACATTCGATATGATTGCGCGACCATTTTCTGTCGCCTGGTTGCATCAACCGTCAAGTTCCTGACAGGCGAGGACGAGTCCAAAGCAAGTGGCTTATTTCTGCAGCCTGTAGCCCCACAAGATAATAGGACAGTAGGCTCTGATGCTGAAGATACTAGGGCGACAGCGACGAGTTTGACTTTGAGTTTGAAGCCGATCTCCAGAAGGCTACGGCGTGCAGGGCTCATTCTCTACATGCCTTTCCTCCCGCAAGTGTCCATACAATTCATACACATGGGCCGTATACGCATTCCAGCTGCGATGCTCAGCTGAAACTATCCCTCTTTCAGAAAGTCTGCTCCAGAGAGCATGCGAGCGTCGGGACACCAAGGTCGAAGGTCGGCGGCCATGGCCTGGACCTCGGCCAGCGCCGTGCTGCCACTTCTCACTGCACAGCAAAAGAGACCTCAGGCTCGGGTATGCTGAGTGAAGATGGGCTCAGCTGCACACAGCTTGCATTAACACCAGCAACCGTGGCGGCCGGACCCCGCAGCGCCAGTGCCTTAAGCTCCGATTCCGCATCCACCTGGATGTGCCAGACCTGAGCCACAGTGTGTTAAGTGTTAAGAAAAGAATCCATTTGTCTCAGGCTGCAGGGCCGTCGCAAGGAAAAAGTACATCACAGCTGGGGCCCCAATCTCTTAAAAAGGTGGGTAGATGTGGACAGAGTGTGGGGAGATCTTTTCAGTTTGAATTGCTGCTGTCATGTGGTGGGCGAACTGTTCTTGAACTTGAACTGGGCATGTCTGCCGCCACAGCTAGTGCCAAGTAACAAAGTGCTCACAGCAAAGCTGGCATGGCATCTTGCAGTGTGGCGCCAGCTCGGGTTTCAATGAACTAGGGGTTCCTTTTGTGGAATGCCAAAGCGTGGCTCACAGTAGTTGATGTGGGATGTGGCTATATTTGAGGGGCCCCACATCTTCTGGACAAACGCTGTCATTGGCAGTTGGGACTATGCTTGCCAGTGCCCACTGTGAGGTATGTGTACAACGCTCGCAAACAGTTCAAAGCTTGGTCTTCTGGATCTGGCTTTCCCATGCCTTTTCTTCGGTGAACTTTTTCTTTCGGCGATTAGGCGATGGGAAAGCGGCACGCAAGCGAAGATGGCGCAGGCAGCATTTTGCTACCCTTTCTGCTTCGACTTGTAGGGCTTCATCTAATCTAGTTGGGTTCGACAAACTCTCAGGATGCAAGACGCGTCCAAGGCGCAGCCATGTCTGAGTGGATGGATCTGAATCTAGGATCTTGTCTTTCCAGGTGCCAGCATGCCTCGCCGGAAGGCTGAACCGTAGATGCCACCTAGTTCATGCTAGCAAGTCCCACTCTGACTCTGCCTCCGCCTTGGAGCAGGTGAGGCTGTGCCGTTTCTATGCCATCTCGGGTCTCTGCAGGTGGGGGGAGAGCCGCAGCCTGAGCGTCGCCTGAGAGCCCACAGCACCCGCCGTGTCCTCGGACGCGCAGCTATCCTTGCTGTCAGGTTGCTATTTTGCTCACGGCGAGGTCGGCAAGTCAGCTTGCAGGGAGGATCATCAGAGTCATCAGAGTGTCGGGAGAGCAGATGATTTGGAATTTCAGGCAGAGCTCGTCTTGGGCAGCGATGCCATCTCGCAGCAAGAGCCCCATTCTTCCCCGTGCGCTTCACTGAACCATGTGGTACGCCGCACACCTGACAACCAGTCGCATGTAATGAAGTCCACAGTTGGCGCAAGGGCTGCGGCTTTGAAAGTGGCTCTGCGTAATAGATACGCTTGCAAGATCCTGTAAGGCGAACGGGCCCCAGTGTGTTCTGGTCACACACGAGTTACAGTGATAGGTCGGAAGCATATGCAGTCGCTCAGCCCGCCGACTTGTACTAACCTGCTGGCAACACCTTGAACGCCTAACGTTTTGTGCAAGGAATGCAGGATGCAAGAAATTTTGATGCTAGACTTACTTTGCCAAGGCAGCAGGTTGTCGCAGCGTGTTCCGCTGCAGCATGGGAAGATGCTGAGGGAGGTTGGGCGAGATATGGCACAACAATTTGAGCCTGCATTGACAATGTGCGCATGCAGGCTGTTGCAACTTCCCGCAAGCTCTTGCCGTTCGACTTGCACTACGGTTCGAGGCCAAAAAGCTGAAGGGGCCTAGGAGGAGGCCTAATAAGCTAGGAGCAGTTCTGTCGGGAGCAGAGCGTTGGTCAAGCTGCTGGCTAACGTGGCTCAGACGAATTGTGTAGCTTGTAGGCTCAGCCGCAACACTTGTTGCCTGCGCCTCAGCAATGGTTCAATGCATGAGACGGTAAGGGATTGGTGCAGGTGCTCTGTGCTGACTTTGCTGTGTCCTGGCCATCGAGATGTTGTCACCAGCTTGTCCAGGCCAACGATGGAAACAGCCGGATTGCCAATCTCTGGGGACGGCGCTCGTGCGGCAGTCACAAGCCCAGACCCGTGGCATCGTTCCTGGATGGCCTCCATGAGGGAAGACGCAATTTCCCAGCTCAGCGAACCGAGGTAAAAATGTTGCTGAGGCCGCCCTCAGTGATTGCAACGTAAGTCTGCAGCTGCATAGCCTCAAGTCATCGCAAGATTGCGCTTTTTCCGATCTTCCTGTTCCAAAGAACTCAGAACAACTTGCAAACTTAGTCGGCAATGAATAGTCAGAGGGTTCAAAGGACAGCCAAGAATGCTTTTCCGGTCAGGCTCTGTCATCCTGACAAGTGTGGCCATCCGGAGGCGCCTCTCTTTTGAATGGATCCTGAATACGCGTGACCATCACTCCTACTACTACTGCTGCTGCTGCTACTACTACTACTACTACTACTAGTACTACTACTACTACCATCACCCCCCCTAGGCACCACGTTTCACTTAAAATGGATTTTGAATTCCACGAGGAGGCGGCTAGTAGCAGTAGTATAATGTTAGCATATTGGGCTCGGCCCCGACCTATCCACAGTTTGTGAAAGGGGGCCATTTTGTAAGGGCTCTGCGTGGTTATATAAGAATTGTCTCAC